TGTTAATATAAATCGTCTTGCTTTAATTTCGGTGTTGAAACAATATTTCATTGTGAAAAAGTACACCCTATTAATTTCAAAATAACATGGTTATGATATTAAAATGACATTGTGCCTATTTTGTCATGGTCAAGTTATGCTGAATTGACTTTATGTTTCAAATAATTGACTGAAAAAAATGTTATTGACCTATAGCTGATATTTTAAAATGTTTATGATAAAATATAAGTATGCCTAAAATTTAAAAAGACTGTCCCAAACTTATATAAATTGAACATTTTGGGTAATTTCCAATTGCATTAATTTATCGTTCATAAATGGAAAGTACATTATAAAATTGAAAGGAATTATTGCAAGATGTAAACTTATTTGACTTTCACCTGTTCACTCTTTATAATTATAGCCTTGGATGGGCATTATGCATTATGTCAAAAATATCTATTACATACTGTTTAATACTGTTTACATTCTATTTGATTAGTGTCAATTAAATCATTTAATGTACAAATATTTTCATAATTTTGTAATAAATTATTATGCACTTCAGAGTCCATACCATATTTATATAATTTTTGTTCTTAAAATGATTGCCTTTTATCTTCATGGTAATAAACTTTGTCGTTTTCTGTCTGGATTATTTTATTAACAATAAACATAATAAGGCACATAAAAACACTAACTTTACAATGTTTTTTAAATAAAATGATGCAAATACTTTGGCAATGTTCTAAGGTTTCACTTTGTTCAAAATCTTAAATTACCATATTCTTAAGCTATTTTTTTCAGCAGCTACTTAATTTGATAATCAAAAATATCTTGGCAGATAATCAGCAAATGCTTTCTGTATTGCAGATAGATTAATGAATGCGGCTTTCAATTAAAATAAAATGTAAATACATTAGTATTATTATAATCAATGTTTATTTAAGTCTATTAATTGGTTGAATTGACTAATAACCAATACAGAATCAAACAACTTTTAACTGACAGTATAGCTGGATGCTGCAAACTGACCAGTGAAAGAATATTTTGTGAAATTGCTTATAACACTGGCAGTAGAATTTATGTCCAACAAAAAGCTTAAACCATTATTCTTGAAGTTTGGGAATTTAGTATGTTTTTGGCCAATAAAGACATTTTATTAGTAAATATTCCATGAAATCTATTATTAATTGTTTCAAATCTTTTTACAGCTCAGTTAAGTATATTAGTATAAGTACATATTTTGAATAAGCGCTTCACATGTAGTTGTAAGAAAGACAGTCCAGGACTGACCAGGATGGGTGGTGTGAAATGCTGCAAATTGAAAAATATAGCTCGAACCTATGTACAATTGTGGCAACCTATGTACAATAGTGGGGTAAAAAATTAGGACAATTTCTAACACGTTAATATTGCATGCTATTCTAATGACAATAGGTGCAGTGCTAAGCATACTAAAATGTAATACCAGTGTTCTGCCTTGTCGACGATATGATGCATTGAATTGTTGCTAGTTTTCTTTACCGCATGGAGTGTAATAGTTTACATCATGGATTTAAAAACAAATGGAAACCTAATTAATGTAACATTGTTAAACATGTTGGTTGAATTGGAAGGATTCGAACCCATGGAGTGCAATTGGAAATATCTGCTCTCAGAGTCATGCAGGTCTCACGATCTTGATGGTCACTATTGTATTGAGCATATGTTTTCGGCGCGTTGGTTGGTGGCTGCCCCCGGGGGACCCTCGCCCACTTTGCGACCCTCCAACCTTTCAGAACCATAATATTGAAAATTGGTTAAAAAAAAACGTTGGGGTTATGGAGTTCAATTATTATTAAGATGAGTGCTGAAAAATGTGCAGCGAGTTGCATACCTTTACTAAATATGTATATATTAATCAATTTTTTATTTTTTGTGGGAAATGAAGGTTATTGAATTAAAAGCATATACCAAATATTAAAACATGTTTCAAATGAAAAATACTGCAGTTTACATGGTTTTGGGGGGTGGGAGGGTTGTGGGGTGGGTGGCCGATCAGCGCGCCGAACACCTATGGCATAGAGTGGTTCAGGAAATGTATATTTGAAAAGTTGATGTGTTGATGCATAATTTATAGTTCAGTTGATTGAATGCACTTATTGTATACATGTATCTAGCACATATTTGAAGCAGTTTGAACGTTATTGCTAAATTAATATCTCGGAAAAATGCACCGTCAAATGTATATACATTTAGCTAGCACATATTTGGAGCAGTTTAAATTGAATGCTTTTGCTAAATTCATGTCAGGAGAAATGACACTGAACTCGAGATCTTGGTGGTTACTACCCAAATTATTGTGTTTCAGATAGTGTCATATTTGATTTATGAGCGCTAGTATATGCATATTTGTTGGAATGCTGCTTTATTTGCTAAGTTGAATTACCTACATGGCAGTGTTGTATTATAAATCATAGAATGGCTGGGCACGACTAATTTTTTTCAAGTATTCAATTCGCCGGAGCCAATAATAGTATGATATTGGCGAAGCCAATATTATATGTTATTGGCGGAGCCTTCGACTGGAAAACGGGAAATCTCCCGTTCACCATCCGAAGTCTAGTGGCGGCCGGCGAATAGACATTTTGTGATACTGGCGATACTGGTTTCTGCTTCCCAGAACCAATTTCGCGCAACAGTGTCAATGCTGTGTTGTTGCTCATATACATTTGTGAAAATTGACTATTTTGTGAATGAAGAATTGAAAGATTAGTATTGCTTTGATCTATTATTTTCTAGAACATACTGTTCCAAAAAGCTATACAGTTTGTTCCATTTGCTTGTTTTGATTTTGTGTCATTTGTTTGCTTTGCTATGGATGCCCTAACAGGGTTTTGTATGCCCGGTATCCAAACCTTTTGGCTTTTATTAATGGAGTCGTGCCCATAAAATGCCAAAGATAAACTAAGACATTACTCAATGAGATAAATTACATATGCCACTATGTATGACTATAAAATAAAATTAGTTAAAGTATGATATTGTTTTGTTGTTGTCCCAAATAATGATAACTATTTCTATAGAATATTCTCTGTTATTTGGGGAACAACTTATACCCTACCCTGGTTATGACGTATGTACTGTATCTACGTCATATCCTTTTAACGCTGGCGTCAAATATTGTAACAAGGAAGAAATGAATTGTTGAAAAAACCCACCCGCCCTCCTCGGTCAATTATGAGTGTGAAGTGTCAAAGACTTGAGCTTAAATTTAATATTAGTGTCCTGCTTTTTTGTTGTTTCTGTCCTCTTTTGATATGTTTTCAGATTAGCCAACAAAAGCGACGTGTTTCAAGACAGCTAGCCCTGCTAAATACCACGGAAGAGGTATCTTTTAGGAAAACTGCTTGGGCCAAAACCACCAGCAGAGAGAATTCGACAACGGTGCGACTCAAGAGATGTGTTCTATGAACTTTCAAATACTAGATTTCACATGTTGTGTCTGCTAAATTTGCATTTTGCGGCCGGCGAATAGACATTTTGTGATACTGGCGATACTGGTTTCTGCTTCCCAGAACCAATTTCGCGCAACAGTGTCAATGCTGTGTTGTTGCTCATATACATTTGTGAAAATTGACTATTTTGTGAATGAAGAATTGAAAGACTAGTATTGCTTTGATCAATTATTTTCTAGAACATACTGTTCCAAAAAGCTATACAGTTTGTTCCATTTGCTTGTTTTGATTTTGTGTCATTTGTTTGCTTTGCTATGGATGCCCTAACAGGGTTTTGTATGCCCGGTATCCAAACCTTTTGGCTTTTATTAATGGAGTCGTGCCCATAAAATGCCAAAGATAAACTAAGACATTACTCAGTGAGATAAATTACATATGCCACTATGTATGACTATAAAATAAAATTAGTTAAAGTATGATATTGTTTTGTTGTTGTCCCAAATAACAAGATATTACTTTGAAACTAAACTAATGATATTGGTATTCAGCTCAAAAGCTTGCTTTGGTTGCTTTATTCTCGGTATGACCGTGTCACACATTTGCCACGGTATGACCTTGTCACACTACAGTTTTAATTTTGCTACAATAAACTCTTAATATAAGTTCAATACATAACATGATCTTGTTATATTACAAGCTAGTCTCACTCTAAATATTATTCTATAGGCCACAATTAAAATTGCTTTTCAAATGCATTCATATTTGAAATATTGTTTACGCTGAAATTTCAAGATGTTAAACGTTTAATTACGTTATTGCATATAAAATAATAAAAATGTCAATATTTCAAAAGTATGTAACGAAGTCCACAGTTGGTCTCATTATTCATACCGAAAACAAATTCCGGCATACCTTCAAGGCATGTCGTAAATATTTCAAAGATATATATATTCAGTTATGTTTGTGAAACATACCTGAATCCTCATCATTTATTTTGTTTCAAAGTGCATGTGAACATAAACAGACGTGTTAATGAGATACCATGATATATCAATAATTTTTCGCGCCAGATTATTGCCAGGTTATTGTCAGATTCTGATGTTAAATTCGGAGAACAATACTGCCAGGAATATAATTTTCTCTGTGAATACAGCATGTTATATTATGTTCATAAACATACCATTCATTTCATGCGTTCTGAGTTGTATAGTTGTCGACAAATGATTTTATGACAGGTTTACTTAATTACCTTTATTACGCAAATACAAACATATACACCAATGAAAACTGTAGACGGTGCCGGAATTGTTAATGCCAATGCTAAGGTTATAACTGGATATGCTTGTACGTTTGTTTATTGCTTCAGCATAAAATATACATTAAATTGAATACAAATGTAATACTTACTAAAGAATTAATTTCAGTATTTATACACATACTGACGTGTGCCAGAATTGTTATGTCATAATTGTACATGTTTTTTACGTATATAACATAATATATTTATTTTTTTAAATTAGGATAATTGCTTATTGAATAATATATCACTCTGGATACTTCATTGTTCCTTTTTAATTTCAGGTGAAAACGAACATATCAGTGGTATCTATCAAGGTGAGTCTATAATAATCTAGGACACAACAACAAACATGCCTGTCAAACTATTCTTTATCTGCGACGAAATTTTGTTATCTCATTATATTAATATTTAAGACTTTACTTGGGAAGTAATAATTTCGTACTTCTCTTAAAAACTTTAAAAAATCGCATTAATTTAAAATCTCATTTTATGGTTGTAACTGTCGTGCTGCTGCCTGTACATATTTTGATTTAACAAGTTTGTTATACGCCCGAAGAAACTTCGGGACGTATTATGGTATGGAGGTAGACTATTGGTTTCCGCAGATTGACTTTTGATGGATTTCAGTCACTGTGCTTATACATAATATGAACCGCGTCACGACAAAACCAACATAATGGGTTTGGGACCAGCATGGATTCAGACCAGCCTGCGCATCCGCGCAGTCTGATCAGGATCCGTGCTGTTCGCTTACAAACCCGCGGATGCGCAGGCTGGTCTGGATCCATGCTGGTCGCAAACCAATTATGTTGGTTTTGTCATGGCGCGGCTCATATGTAAGTATGCCATATCAAAACACAAGTTCAGTTGTCTGTAATATTATTGACTGCAATAAGATAGCTTTTGAAGGATTTTAATAGTTGCTTTTATATTTGCAAAGTTAGTAATAACATATAAAAACACAGGTTTACTTTGATATTTCACTGCAATCAACATATTATTGAAAGAGTTTTAAGGCCCTTTTACAGCAAACTTTCTGTAAAATTATTTTTTTTCCGCAGAATAACGTTTAAAATATTTATCTAGAAGGCATAAATTTTTCTCTAGTGCCTTCTTTTGAATTTACCATCGTGTGTATCGCGCCCAGCATCAGCAGAGCTCTTGTTTTATTCTCTAACATGATGGAACCAAAAGTGATTAATGCTACCTTTGCCACCAGAACATAATCAGACGCACTAGTATGACAGTGCAGTTTTGTCAGGATCTTTTCTTTTAGTAGCTCATTACTTGTATTTTGATACTGAAAACCCCTTACACTTTGAGTGAACTTTTCGAAATTTTGAAAGCCGAAGCATGACAATACATTGGATTATTTCAACATATAAAAATAAAAATTTGTTAATTTAAGCACGCTCCGTATCTGTACACGACTGATGATGGAGAATATACTGGATATATCCCTGACATATTGGACCATTTGGCACAGGTGGTCGGCTTTAATTACACCTTATACGAAAGCCCTGATAGAAAGTATGGTACACTGGTCAACGGCACATGGTCTGGAATGATGAAAGAAATTGAAGATGGTGTAAGTACTTTTAGTGTACTATCCAGGCATACAATAACTTTTCTTATGACAATTGGACACATTCTCACACGAATGGGCATAAAAGTTTTTTATATCATGGTTGACAAAGTGAAAAATTATCTTTGGTTTCATTTATCTTTGCAAATATGTTATCAGTGTGATTTGAAGACTAATTCTATGACAAGTTTTTTTTTATACTGACTAAAACCTTAATCGTGCTAGCGTTTAAGAACTGTATATAATTGGTTTAATAAAAGAATATAGTCTTCAATTTGACATCACTCAATATTTTTGTTACATTTGACATTTTTATATTTATTGCCCATGAATTGTCTGTGTTTGAACTTACTTGAAATAATGCATTTTCAAGTCAAAATTGAGTCTTTCGCCAATAATAAAGTTTATATACATTTTATGAGTGTCTCTGCTTTTGAACAATTTCTTTTGAAAAGAAGTCTACAGAACAGAGGAAATTTTGAAACATGATTTCAATCATTTTAGATACATAATATTTTGTTTTTGCTTTCATACAGATAGCGGACTTGGGAGGTCTTATGACAGTTACTTATACGCGATCTCAATTTGTGGAATTTTCATATCCGGTTGAATACCTTGGACCAGCGATAGTTATGAAGAGACCAGATAGGGACCGACCATCTTTACAAGAAAATCTAGCTAAGCTTCTTGCGCCACTCGAGTTCTCTGTATGGCTGATGTCTATTCTTGCTCTCCTGGTCACCGGCACCGTTTTGTATATCATATCACATTTCAACCCATATGAGTGGAGAAGAATGTCGAAAGATCGGGAAGCAACTATAAGGGAAGCAGAGTCCTTCACGTGTCTCAATTCATTCTTCTTTGTTGTTAGCACTCTCATGTGGCAAGGTAGCTTTATTGTTTTTATCTTACTTTCATTTTAATTTTCGTAAACATACTATTACTCTATGACAATTGCACTTTGTAAGAATCATTATGTTTCGTTTCTTTATTGTCACATCTTACATGAATAAGTTTATGTTGTTTTTTTGTAAAATAAATGGAGGTATGCATATAAAATACCCGGTACATGTTAATTTTACTAGTTCTTTTAAAGAAATATCTTATTATTTCTTATTGTCATATTTTACCATGTACATTGACATAAAACTGTTGTTTCTGCATGTATGTAATGTATGTATTTGCAAATTATTAGGGTCATTTTGCCTTCTTGCACTTTATTTGGCTGACGCTAAAGAAAGTTCGGAAGCCGCGATGTCACTAACAACTAAAATATAATCTGTTACAACGATGTCATGAATTATTATTTTACACGTAGGTTATGTCCGTGCGCCACGGTCTGTCGGTGCACGTGTTGTGGTCGTATCATGGTGGTCTTTTACTGTTGTCCTCCTGTTGTCTTACACTGCCAGTCTTACAAACTATCTCGGTGCAACACCAGAGCCATTTGCTGTCCAGGGATATTCGAAAATTAGAAGTTTTAGGTATGTCGAAAATATATATATGCAAATCTATCCTAAAATATTTAATAAAAAGCGAAAAAGATTTCATGTTACATTTTGAATTTTGTTCAAACCATTGCTATGGGGCGTGAACGATAGATTGCATGCACTGGTCACTGTCGTCAATGAACATACTCAATCTATCATTTTCATATTGCAGTTTTGGGCTTTCCTTAGGAATTCTTATTTTTTTCTTATCTTATGTTATTAGTTGTGAAAGAAGTAGAGTTTTATATTCTACATAAGTCATTGTTTCAATTTAACAGAGACCTGGCAGCTAACAAAGAGATAAGGATTGGAGTAATTCCAACTGGGGCAACCGAGGCCAGATATAGAGATTCCAAATCGGATACTGACATAAAAATCTACGAGAAAATTGTAAAAGACAGGCAGTATCAAAATGAATCCGGACACATTCCAGCTAATGTAGAGGAGTTGGAAACCTATTTACGACAAAGGACATATTCCGACTATGCTCTGCTTCTAGAGTCTCCAACAGCTAAATTTATTGCAAACAAAAAACCATGTGATCTTTACATGATAAGTGGTGGAATTATAACAAGTCATCAAGCTTTTGCTATGGCGAAGGGGTCTACTTTGAGAGGACCGATAGATCTAGCGTTGATGAAGCTTCATCAGTCTGGGGAACTTGCAGCTATAGAACAAAGATGGTTTGGCTCACTATGTAAAGAATCAGTATATCAAGTAGATGAAAGCATACATGCTGAGATGCCGGAATTTAATCCTCTTGATCTAGGAACATTTTCATCAGCGCTGCTTATCATCGTAGCTGGCATTGTTCTTGGTGGATTTATTTCTATAATTGAAATATGTATCTACAAGTGGGCAGAAACTGTAAGTTTATAAACTAATTCGAATCTTTAAAGTCTAACTAAAAAAAGATTACTATTCCCACTAGTATTCACCTTACTTTTTCATGCAAAGTACAACGCTTTTTCTCCTTATGTTACTAAATAGTAAATACTAGACTATTATAGTGTGACTATGTCATTAATAAAGTCTACAAATAACATTTCTACTTCTATTCTTGTAAAATGAACAGGTGGTATCAAAAAATCAGTTCTGTTTACAATGTCGTTAAATAAAGTAATGCATACCAAATGATAATAATTTTTCATTGTATTTTTAAGCGCGTTGACGACGAGGATGAAGTGGAACCGATCAGCAGCAACCGTAACAGCAAAATTTATGAACCGGAAACAGGAGATCGTCTGCTTAACCAAGATAGCAAACGGGGCGGAGCAACACAAGTGTAGAAATTATATGGCGCCATCTGGTGTTACCTTTTTCCTATAGTGACGATTGGAGACTACCATAGAAAGCCGAACCAAAATGTGGCATTCGGAACATTCGTTCTTTGTAATGAGAAAATATTAAAAGGAATTTGATACTCGCGCGAATGATTGAATCTAGAAAAAATAAGAAATATCCTAAAAGCATGGTAACGTGGTAACAATTTCACCACAACCTCGATGTGATAGAAATATCCCTAATCAGACAAAAGCTAAACTAGAATAATATTAGGCAAGCTGGTTCAGCGAGTCATGGATTATTATTTTAACTAAAAGATGAACTTACAAGGGAGTGGAAGGAAGCAGAGTGTTAAGAGTGTAATTCGCATGTTCCCAGGGTGATTGAGGCGGCATATCATACGGCAAAAATTATAGATATTTTATAATTGTGCCGTTAAAAAACAAGTTACTTTGACAAAAAAGTTCAGTATTAAAGCCAATAGAAGAGAATTTTGGGAAAGTAATAAACACTCAGCTAAGATACTAGGTTTTTGATATAAGGCTCCAACTACATTAATAGCGCACCTTAAAAGCAAGAAAAATATTTTTTTTCTTGATATTGAAATATTCTTGTTTGTTTATTTGTTTTGCAATAGTTCTTTCAATACTATCATTAAATTTATATTCTGCTTCAATAATATTTAACCGTTGTACAAGTGCCACATATGTCACTGTGTTAGCAATGCATTATCCCTCTAAGTGGCTGTTTTGTTGTTTTTTTAAGATTTATCTATAGTTATTTTGATAAGATAAATGAATAAGAAAGAAGCGTTGTTTTTATTTATCTCGTATTAGATATTGTTTCAAATGATGTTTGCACGCCAAGGCTTATTTTAATTTTTAACGGTAGTTGTTCTTTTTGTTTTTATTTACAATGTATTCTTATTAAAGTTTTAAGTCAAAATATTGGTTTCCCAAACTTGCGCATATTACAATTTCAACGTCATATGTGTTTGTTTTTGTTGTTGTTGTAGTTCACATGTTTGTTGTTTATAAGTTTAACAGTTTAATCATCGTCTAGTTTTCACATTTTATGGTGATAAAATTACCATACTTCCCATGTATTGTAGCATGTTCGACACCAACACCAACTTCTCATTAAATACATATCACAGATGATACAGGAAAGAAAAAAAACATATCCTTTGAATAAGGCCCCCACGATTACACGTTTAAACGGATTCGTTTCGATTTTCATTCATGAACGTTTACGATATTGTTTACCGTTTAATCGAAATGACCATATTGTCTTACAAAATTTCTTAATCATTGCCTGTAATCATGGATTTTATCAATTCTAGTGGTTTATTCCAAAGTAAACAAACGGAAAATGGGTGTTTACAACCCTCCACACAGCATTACCGTGCAAAATTGCTCGTGACATAATACATTTTTGGTAAAAAAATGGGGTTACAATGCAAAAAATGTGTGCTGACTCTATCGTGATGAGCCTTGCACATTCTTTATTTGTACATGTATTAAAAATAGAAAGCAAGACATCATTTGGCGACTCAAATACATGGTGTGTATAGTACATAGAGGTACCACCGTTTAAACGGTATCGTTTCGGTTCTTAGCAGTCGTGTAAACGTTTACAAAAAATTGTAAACGTGGGAGCCTTACCTTTGAACAACGAACAACATGTTTTCACCTCTTTGGTTGCGATATTTTTTTATTTTCATTACCCAACCCTACAAGATTTTTTGCGATTTCTTTTGTATAAGATCAAACTAACAAGTCATTGTTTATAAACGGGTACAATGAAGACCTTTAAGCTAGGGTTTAATATTAAAATAATGTTTAAATGTCATCCATTAGTCTTTTAGTGTTTAAGTCACCTAAGCTCAAAGTAATTCCGAGACAGGAGTGAACGGAACATGTTGTGAATAAAATGGAATATTCATCATTCATTCGAGCATGACATTATCATTTGAATGTGCCATATATCAACCAAACAATCGAGACGTTAAACGTATACCTCGATTTGTTAACTTGTGTTTTTATATTTACCTATTTGTGTATTTATTTAAGGCATGTTGTATATTCAGTTATTGGAATTAAGTATCATTGTGAATTGATCAACCTTTTTTCTTGTTATACATGCATTGCATTGTATAAGTGTATATTGTTTGACCTTGAATTTCAAACTGACCAATGATTTTGCCATGTTATACATCTTACAAGGTAATGTTAACCATTGGTGTGATATATCCTTTGATGATATCTTGAAAATAAATGAAAACAGTCTCATAAAAACTTTCATTTGTTATTTATTTACAGAATGAACAAACCGTAGCATTACATCCATTATCGCATAACCTTATACAGTCAGTAGGCACTCTTGGCGACGCTAAAAGTTACACACAATTGTTTCCGTAATGTTTTCTTGGTGTATTTTGAAATGTAGCAGTTTTGAAACACAAAGATGTCTTGCCAAGTTGCCAGTCTTGCGAGGGGCTTAAATTGACAATCCTTATTTGATCCACTTCTTCCCTGTGTATTTCACAGGAAGTCAAGATGAAATAAGAAAACTTTAAACTATGAACTGTGAATATTTGCCACGAGAATTTATTTTGAGAGGAAATTATGTAACTATAATTACAGGTTTCTTACTAAAATTACACCATAAGTCTATATCTGAAACGATCGCAAGCTGTTATTAATAAAAGCGTCTTGCCAGTCTTGTGGCGCTTGTGAGGGGCTTAAAATAACCAATGAAAATCGTTCAGATCTGTTATTTAGGTAATTCTTAGGTCATTCCTGTGTATTTCAAGGAATTCAAGCTGAAACTAAACAGCTTCCTTTATACTGAATATACTAAACCAATCAACACAACAAAACTAGTCATATAGTTAGAATTCTATTCAGAATTATATATACATTCATATATTCTTGAAGTAAGGTTATTCATAAATTAGTAATATTTGTGTTTGTTGAATCTTCAGTTTAACGTTCATTAACCTTTACCAGTTGATAAGAAAAAAAGATAATTAATACATATTTAATGTATGCTTGTTATACCCTTGACATGTACGAATAGCAGTAATGTTAGTTAATCAAGATGTAAGGATAGTTATATAAAACAAGGCATGTAAATGTACAAAATAAAAATCCCTAAATCATCATTTAAGTCCTTTTCATCACATTACATAAATTACGGAAGCGTATCAGGGCCTACAGTTGGTGAGATGTTTTGCGCTAAGTCAACTAATTTTTATTCGCATTGATAAGATGTTTTTGCATTTCTCAATAAAATTTACTGACAAAGATGAGAAGCTTTTAGGCATAGCAACTGAATTTTTCTCGATATGCTTGAAACTTTTGTCTCTTCGACAAAAATCCTGTCGAAACTTCTTGATTATACGACTTTGCTGAAATATTTAGTAAGACGCAAAGACGTTACTCGCATTGACAAATATCTCACGTAATTCAACAAAGTTTTTTTTGCAATGATTAAAACTTTCTACGTATTACGTATTAATCATAACGTCTTCATGGTATGTTTTATGTATTACGTATTAATCATAACGTCTTCATGGAATGTTTTTGGTCAAAACGAGAAGAAACAAGTTGACATGACGTGAAACTTTTAGATAAGTGGAGGCCCTGATAAGCTTCCGTAATAAATACAAAAAAATGAATACATAAAACTTTGGTCTTTTAAAACTCTGTCATAAATATTTTAATATCCACAATGAGCAAGTAACGTTTTACAAGAACTTATGAAACAGAAATATATTATTATAATTATATTACTAGTATTTTTTGAAAACAAATCTCATTGTCAAAAGAGCATAACATACAGTACATAACATTATTAAATTTGAATTAATATAATTATAAGATGATAGAAGTGATAACTAGACAAATCCGTTCTTATGCTGTTATAATTTCGTAGTATTTTTATATATGTACGGAAGCGTATTAGGGCCTACAGTTGGTGAGATGTTTTGCGCTATGTCGACTTATTTTTATTCGCATTGATAAGATGTTTTTCTTTTCTCAATAAAGTGTACTGACAAAGATGAGAAGCTTTTAGGCATTGCAACTGAATTTTTCTCGATATGCTTCAAGCTTTTGTCTCTTCGACAAAAATCCTGTCGAAAATTCTTGATTTCACGACTTTGCTGAAATATTAAGTAAGACGCAAAGACGTTACTCGCATTGACAAATAGCTCACGTAATTCAAAAAAGTTTTTTTGCAATGATTAAAAACTTCTACGTATTACGTATTAATCATAACGTCTTCATGGAATATTTTATGTATTACGCATTAATCATAACGTCTTCATGGAATGTTTTTGGTCAAAACGAGAAGAAACAAGTTGACATGACGTGAAACTTTTAGATAAGTGAAGGCCCTGATAAGCTTCCGTATATATGCTCTGAAATATAAAAGGTTATTCATTTATGATTTTCAATGTATCACTTATGATTTTTAACTTAACATCTTAAAATCATGCAAGTTACTCGATACACAAACAAATCCAAGAAATAGAAAATTAAATACTAACATAACCGTATTATTTGCCCATAATGATTGTATCGGTTAATCGTGTTAATCATAACCAGTACACCATCCTTCAGTCTTCGACAATTTTGTCATATTATATACCAACTCTGAAAAGGTATTGAAGTTCTCTAAACTGAAAAGGTGTTGCGAAGCCGGCTTCGATACGTATTCTGTAAGTTCTTCCATACCCGAAGCTGAGAACTTCCCAATCATAAGACCATACACGTCTGCTACTTTTGAGAGGTCCTTAGCGGCCGCCACAGCATCACCACCTTCATTTGACAAACCGTCAGTTAGTATTAAAACTTCCTGTTTAACTTTCGACTTTGATTTGCGAGCTCCTGAAAAGATATTACTTGTTCATGTTGGTTACTCATTTTTTTTTATAAAACCTTTCGTTGACATCTCAAAATCGTCCTCAAATGTTGATTAAATATTAGATATGAATTTCTAAAACACTTTTTCGATTAAAGATAATTTCGGCGATAATAAGACTAACATGTAAAGTGCTTAGTATAAAAATCGTCGTTACAAACGTGCAGTATGGTAAATATAACAGAAAACATGTACATTTTCAATTACCACATAGCATGAACAAAGATATTAAAACTTGTGTGATTAATTAATTACTTATAATTAATCAACTACTTTTCTAAGAAATCCATTATCTAATTTCTTTCAAAAATGACCATGCTACAACATTAAATGCTCTTAACCTACAATCTTATTTATAGTTATTTATATTTAATACCTATGTTACTATATATAGTAACAAATCTAGGCTATTTCAGGGCCATTTTGGCAAGATCTAGGTCAATATGCAATTTTGGCCGCCTGGCTACTCGGCATTATTTTTCCATAATGGGCAAGTGAATGAACGCACGTACAGAATGACGTAATCAACTCTCAGTGACTTTCAAGATGGCTGCTGACGTTGAATGCACTGTAGTCTCTTGCACACAAAATATATTAAAAGTTAAATGGCATTATTAATCACAATCAGCAAAGCTTAACAGTAAAGATTTATAAACGCAAGACAATACATGACCCTCAGAAATTCTAAAAATGATTTAAGATTGACGGTAGGAAAGAGATCGGATCGGTGACATCAGTCTCAAAAACCGTTCAAGATTGAAGGCACAAAACTTCATAAATAACTGGCACTTGATCTAAATGTAATTCTCACAAAAAAGTAAAGAGAAGGATACTGTATTTATCAATAAAAACAATAAAAACATTTCCTTATATTTATTTTGTGTAATCATGTTTTCCAAGTTAATCGGATGGTTAAACTGTACATGACAGGTATTTGTTTACATCGACAACTGTTCGTTTCTTAGAAAGGGCGACAACCAAGATTAGCGGCGATGTTTAAACGACGTATTTCGGACATAGGTATTACTTGGTTACTGCTCGCCATTATGCGATAGTTCATAATGTCCTTCGGGCCTGCGGCCCCCAGGCCATTATGCACATCTTCGGGCCATTATCTCATAATGGCGAGCAGCATCCAAGTATTAACCTCTAAGTCATTACTTATAAGTTGTGAAATAATTTTAGTATTTTTGTCCTACGTACCTCGATTTTTTTCAAACATCTCTTTAGCTTTCCTGAATGCACCCGCGGTGTTGGTACGATGTCCGAGATACTTAGCTTTTGTGATTGCATTGAGCACATAGTAAGTTTTTTCGTAAGAGTTAAAGAAGAAGTTTTCCACAACCGTTGTAGAAAATGTAATCATAGCTAGCTGATGATGCTGATAGGGGTCATTATTAACTACATCGAAAGATTTGCCTTTCGGACACAGAAGACCGAAGAGAGTTTTTGCATCTTTTTTTGCTTTGGTGAAGTCTGTCCTCTGTACACTGCCTGAGCTATCTAAGATAAGCAAAATGTCTCTCACTTTACCTCGTTGATTGTCAGGTATTGGTTCATACGAACTGGGTATTGGTTCATACCAACTGGGTGTTGAAGCCGTTACAAATATTTTTCCGAATGTTCTGACAATGTCACTAAACTCTGGCTTCCATCCTGAAAAAAGAACGATTGATAATTTTAAACTATCGGTTAAGTCGTAAAAATGATAATCAAGATTTTAGTACCTTTTTCATTTCTTCTTAAAAATAGTTGTAAGCTCTGACTTAGTTTAAAAGCTATAACAGTATATGAACATTGTGCATTATTTTCATTTTTGATTATTGAAGCATGGCAGGAATTAAATAATGGAAATGACGTTGTGTCAAGAAATATTTGGCTTACCTGTGTATCTTATATCTTCCTCTAAGACATTTTTACATCCATATGTACCTATCACATTGAATCTTCGTCTAAGATTTCCCATCCAATTGCGTGTCCTGCTTTTTTGACCAAATCCAAATGATTCGCTCCATCCAGACCAAATGGTACAGTTGCATCCTTCATCTAAACATAGGTTTTATAAGATTTTGAATACAGATGTAGATGCATGAATAAAATACTAATAATAATAATAATAATAATAATAATAATAATAATAATAATAATAATAATAATAATAATAATAATGATAATAATTATTACATGCTTTTCGGTGGTTTATAGAAATATATCAGTGATATAAAACTGGTAATTTCACTGTTTGAAACAGTGAAATTACCACTTTTAAGCCCCTTGCGTTGTTTCAGTGAAATACCAGCGTGCACAGTACTAGGTACCAACTTAATGACGTGACGTCGTAAATGACGACACGTTGTATTATTATTTGGCGCGCTTTTCATTCAGTATTAGGTTTAATGTCTTTTAAAACGTTTCTTTGCATGTAATAAAAAGAAAATTTGTTAAGTTTAGTGTAAGATCGAAATATATTTCACCTTGTGAACACCAAAAGTTCATATTTCACTCGTGGCTGCGCCACTCGTGAAATATACCTTTTCGTGCTCACTCGGTGAAATATATTCCGATCTTACACTGAACTAAACAAATATCCTCTATTTGTTTAAATATTGTTTAAATTAATTGTTCTATTTCTCTTGTTTCCTTCTCAACACTTTTTTGTATATTTATGTTTTACATAAAGCACATTGTTGTCTATTTCGTTATTTGTAAAATTTGTAATAAATCAATATGAAATATTAACTTAATACATCAACTTTTTTATTTCTATTTTTGAATATTCATGTCAATGTACACAGTTTTGAAATTCCTTCACTTTTAAAGAATACTGTTGGCCATAGATGTATAAAGTTATGAAGCTAGTTATGATATAAAGCTCGCATTTAGAGCTAAAAGATCAATTAATCATTTTTGTCAGAGTAGATTTTTCATACCTTTTACTTCTCGTGTATGTGGACAAGGTAATCCTCCATTTGCCGGCAAGCGGAGAATTCTGCATGTTCTAATCCGTTGACCATTTTCGTCAGGGCTACTCCATGGACTCCAGTTTGTTACCATACAACTTACTTTTCTATCGAAAAAGGAAGCTTTCGAAGTACTAATAAAGCAGATACAGAGCACAATTTTCAAGTAAATAGCCATTCTTGTTGAAAAGCTCGGAGTTAAATGCGTAAAAGGACAGCTTTTTGGTGATATTATAAGGTAAACAAGGTGTGAACCATTTCAAATATAGGAACAAATCATCGTCCTTGATATTACCTTCCTTGATATGAATTGCAATATACGATACCGTTTTTGTTTTGTATGTTTAAAGGAACAAGTAAAATTGTTTATTTCGAGTACAAACTAAGTTGTTTAACGCAGCAGGTAAAAATCTCTGTAGAAATATATACACACTCAAAAAAAGCGTACAAATTCACATAATTTACAGAAATCGAAACATTCTTTAGTACATTTTATGCTTATCATTGAGAAAAAATCTAAGAAGAAATGTTATGTAGTCTAAAAACCCTATACATTGACACCATCAAATTTGCAAACGCATACCTTACCTAAGTAATTTGTCATCAAATGAAAAATGTACAGAAAACACTGCTTTAAGCTCAGTGTCAATTTTCTTTTCATAAATCACCTCAAATTCCTCAATTAAAATCATGCTGATCTTCTGCCGAATTAGAAACGGGGAGAGAGGGGATGCGAAGGTGAATGAAGATATATTATTGGGTAATGAGTTTAATAAGTTGATAAATATTAAAAAAAACGACTAAAACTTTAAAGATTCATGATACGAAATATGGAATGATAAATACTAGATCTTTGGAACATATATATCGGGAGATCAAATATAAAACGAAACGAAGAAATCGTAGTATCGACTTTATTTATAAAGGGGTATAACCCTAGAAAGCTAGACTGTCGTAACACGAAGGGCGTGTACAATAATAAAGGACATCCAAATTATCATTATACACGTCAAATTCATTTCTTTTAGGACAAGAAAGTAATTTTTGCAATATGACGAGATTATCGAAGCAAATTATATATTGTCAATTATGTCTCTTCAACTTTTACATGGAAAACATACAAAAACACCATGTTCGAAAAAACAACTTTCCTTCTTATGTACATGTACAATAATTGGAATTATTATCAATATAATATAGTATACAATTCCCTGACATGAAATGGTCTTCCTTTTAAGTTGGTCTAGAATTAATTGTGATAGTTGACTCAAACTTACGACAACTTGGTGAGAGTTTTCGAGTATCGGACCAAGATTATAGCCATGACTGTGTACCTTAAATTATTTGTACGCACGTATAATTAAGATTATTACAACTAATTCGTTGCTTATCGCGATTCGCGTGATAGAATGTTACCGAATGATGTTTAACAAATAAACAATTTGTTTTTTTCGTGATTTTATCATGTAGCTAACACGCAAACGCTTTTGAAACCAAAGAAATTGTTCATAGAAATTCAAACAAAGAAAAAGATAATATCAAGCTTCTAAAATGCAATATTCTTTGAGAAAACAAGATGAATACGAACGATAAAATAGGTAAACAGGTATGAATTGCTTTTTTGTCATGTTCTACACAAATTTAGATACAAAATGTCCAATATAAATTTAGACCAAGCCCAATTCGGAATGCTTTCAACCTTGCAAATACCATATACGTGCAAAATATGGTCTTGAGGAAGAAAAATAAAATGTATCATATAGTGTGAAACCAAAGTACAAACAAAAAAATAAAAATAAAAAACAACCAGAAACAAAAACAAAACGACCAAAAACAACAACAGAAAAAAAGGTTTTCAGGACTTTTTGTTTTGTTCCAGCTTTTTCAATCTACTCGAGGCCAGCTGGTCTTGATCAAATGTGCTGGTGGCATTGATTTAACCTAAAATGTGTTTCACCGTTTTATTTATTAAAAATAATTGTTACATTGTAAATCAAAAAGAAAAAAATCTGTTACATAGTGAAAGACAATATAACACGGATTATCATAATTTCTCTTTGATTTTTTTTTCCAATAAATGGATGTTTTATTGGATAAATAACAATGTTATACATATTTTAGGTCAAATCAATGCCACTTGCACCTTTGATCTTGATGGTAAACTTTTATGTTACTTAAAATGTTAAATAACCTGGACCGGAAGTAAATAAGTGCATAATGTATGTGGTGTAAAAGCAATCAAAATGCATTCATTGATTAATAATACTTTGTCGGCCCTATTTCTGAACAAAATATCTTCTACCTTGATGAAAGTGGTCAAAGTTCATTTGTTTCTCTTATTTAACCACAAAAACAATAATAATTTATAATACATATTTATTTGAGTTTATAACAATTGAATAGCGTTTTAGAGCAAATTAGATGCCGAGGACCTAAATAAAGTAGCTTTGAATGTGAAATCATTTGTCATAAAAGTAGCAAAATGTTAACGAAGTAGTAATTTGAATTCCACACAAAATACAAAGTTTCAGGGTTAATAACGGTATTATTTGTCAAAGAGCAACACAAGTAACTGACCAATAAGTATACCTTGTTTGAAAACAAATAAAGTACACCCAAAATTGAAAAAGTTTTGAAAATAAAATTTAAAAAGCATTTCTGGCCGTTATGTATGGAAGCACTGGAGGGCCCTTTTGACTTCTGACTTAATGACTTTTGACTTGAGAGTTATGACTTTTGACTTGGGAGTTTTGACTTTTTACTCAAGACTTATTACGTCTTGGTTGTGAAATTAATAAATTGAACCACACTTTAAGAGAGCACGGAGAAAATAAGCGAAATGGCGGTTGTGCAAAAAATAAATTTCGGTTTGGTTTTTTTTCTGTGCATTTTGTTGAAGTAACACTGGTCGGTACCGTTTTACCTCTTTGTCGTCTCCAAAATTTGAAAAGCATCACTCTTTGAAAATTTCAAAAAAGGGTTTTTAAATACAGTAAAATTTTTGGGTTTTTTTGATTTAAAGCATTTTTTTGCGTCACCTCACTAAAAAACTTGAAGAATTAACCTGAAACTCGGGGGACTTTTGCAATGCATTGAAAAACGTTGTTCGCAATGGCAAGGAAATGCATTAAGGGGACAGCGTGGGTTATCGAACGAAGGGGCGCCGGCTGAAAGTGATCATAATATGGATGAAATAACCCCTAAAGATTTTATGGACAAATGAAGGCAATAGCCCAAAAGGAGGAATGAAAAAAGCAATCGCGAAAGAGTTTTTTTGTCAAAAGGCCAAACAATATTTGGGTTTTAGAGGGTTATGTTTTAAGTAAACCATTCGGTTTTTTAAACAGGGAGCGGTAGATTTTTTTAGCAAAGTTTTGGGGTTTTTTACTAACAACGACCAAAAACAATTTGCGTAATTTTGGGGATCAAACGCATTAAAAAACCCCGCTCTTCTTGCGGGGGAAACAAAAAACAGTGTTTTTTTTCCAGCGTCTTTGGGAAAGAAAAACCCGACCACTTTGCTAGCAGCCCGCAGCTTTTATGTTGGAAGAAGCACTTTTCCCAGCGCATTAAAAGGGGTGGGTTTAACTACTCAAAAAGGAATAAGTAGGGGATTTTTTTTTTAAAGGTTTGGCGTTTTGGCGTTAATGGCCGATACATTGTAAAATTTTTGAAATTTTATTTTATGAATCTAATACAAACACACCTGGATAGAATTGCTTAACAGTGGAATGTACATGAAATTAGACCTCAACACAATTCCGATGCACATTACGGAAAACCTGACATTATGTATTTTCTACCTGAAACGTTGCACGCTGATTATGGTACTGCGGTTGACAAACGTGATGTGACCTGTTTTAAAGACATGTATTCAGTTCCAAAGAGAAAGTTTGACGAATTCAGCGAATTGGCTTATCTGTTAAAGCCCGACCTCCAAATGCCACTATATGCCGATTCAGCATCGAATTGGTTCCTGGAGTTGAATGATTCAGTGGCAAACTCGTATGAAGACTAAAGTCTTTTTTAGCCATAAAGTTGTTTTGTGAGAGAATAAATGATCAACACGATCCATCATTATCACCATCATCATCTACATTATCATGATTATCATTATAAGTAGGTTGACTGCAATGATGATTGACATGATGCTGCTCCTCATGATGAAGGTCGACTATATAATTTAAATAATTATGTTCTTAATGATAAGCAGAAGTGAATTTCGATGATAATGATTATAATCATGACGATGATAATAACTATATTAAGGATGATGATCGTGATGATATTGTAAACTATAGTATAATATATTTTATAGTTCATAACGTAAGTGGCATATGTTTATTCTTATGTTTGACAGTCAATTATAACAAACGTATATGTCACGAAAGTCAAATGTTATTTTTTCGTTCAAATACATCATGGCTCACAAAGGTCTGTTTGTAGTCAAGAAAAACTACGGACCTGTGACAAGTGTAGACCGATTTAGTCTGTGCTGGTGTGCAGACTTACTAGGGCCTATATACTTAACTTTCAGTTAATTAGAATCTGGCTATTAAAATAAATTCACTGTCTCACGTTCATCTTTGTAGACCAAACGCCCTAGTACGAAACATGCACAGGATATCTAGCCAGTACTACCGTATTCTTCCTAGTAATCGCCCAGGGCGCATAGAAAATTGTGAAAGGTGGGCGCTTATTTAGGAGTCAGGTCTTACAAAAGTATACAATATGTAAGAGTCGCAGCTATGCAATTTCTGTTGATATCTCGTATTTAAAGTGGTCCCGTTTACTGACAAATCACTACAGTGGGTTTGAAATGTAAATATTCAGTGTTGTTATATTTTCTGGTCCATCGGGATCATTGATGCCAACACTATAAAGTGTTGAGAATTGAGTACCGCTCAGCCGGTGCTAGGGGGCGTGAGTGATGTTGCACTTATTCATTATCACTCATGTACAGACTCAATCAAACCGAGTCTGCAATTCTTATGTTATTATGTTGTGATTGATGCTTCCGAAGGATCACTTTGTTTCCAGAATTTTCCTTGTACAGTGAAATTTTCTAGGCCCGCGGACATGCATAAAAATTTAAAATGTCGATTGTGGTCAGTTGATTTTTTTTTCTTTTAAGACAATTTATCCTGGGCGCTTAACCTTTTACAAATGGAAAAGAAGGGATGGGCGCTTATAGAAGCATTGCCTCTTATTAGCTCGAATAGGTAGTTATCCGTGGTAAGGTCAGCTTCAAGAATTTCCAGGATGACGCATTTATAATGCTTAGGACGTTTTAAACGATAGTGCAATGACACTTCGTGCACAATGGTCTGTCTTGTGACTTCGTATTTCTGACTAGAGACTTCCTATTTGTGACTTTTGACTTCTTACTTGTGACTTCCTACTTGTGACTGTTGACTTCCAACTTGTGAGTAGTGACTTCAAACACTTGTGGTCTTGACTTTTCACGTATCGACCTCTATTACAAATGGTTTAAGTTACAACCGTTTTGTAATAAGCCCTCAAAATGGATTAAACAACTAGACCTTTACTAGCCCTAGTATAAAGCGCCCGTGTAGGGCAAGGTCATGCACAAAAACTATGATTTTTTGTTCTTATTCCACCAGTCCTATTTCCTCTAGCAAATTTAAGCTTGACATAGCTTTGGATACGAGACACCAGTACACGGAAGGTGGTTCTTTTTGTTATATTTTCCTCTAGATGACAACAATATCATTCTTAGCAAAGCTTCTACTTAAGCTCACGCAAATCAAAACTACAACAAGAGCGTCATGGGCAGCACACTCGACTATTCTTAGCTCTTGATAGTAAAAGGAAAACCATCTTAGTCGACAATCTGTCAACCCATGTCTAGGGGTTGGGGTCATTGTGGTTAACAAGTCTGCAAAATTTCAAAGCGATATCTTAAGGGACTTAAAACATAACTGATGTGGTATGAAAAATTGGACAGAACATTAAACTAACGCCGACGCCCGGATGAGGTGAAAGCTCTCCTTATTCTTCGAATAGTCGAGCTATAAATTACAGGATGTAAAATCAAGGACGATTAACACAATTGTGTTCAAAAAGCACAACATGACAATATCTTTTTAGAATTTTTAGTATTTATTATAATATTGATATAAAAAAGAACTTTTATTTAAAATAAACGATTGAAGTATAAAAAAAAATCAGTATTTATTATAATATTTTGTTCCATTTCTTGGAGCAGCGAACTAGTAGTTGGGGCTGTTTTTTCTTCTTTGCCTTTCTATTTTTAATGTTGTCTTTGACTTCCTTTATACGTTGTTTCCTATGTATGTCCTGTAAATTACAAAAAGATAAAATTTCGAAATGTGCTTCATTTTGCGCTTCATTTTATCAACATTGCTTACCTGGTGTTTTAATAATATCATTTAATCACTGTTGCACAAGAGATAGTATTTCGTGATTTTGTGAAGGCTATTTCATTCAAACATTCTCAATTAATTGAAGTTTCAAAATTACAATTTTCTAATACTAACCATTAACGACACAAAGTATACTGTCATGAGATAATCAGATTACTCATGGTTAAGTTGTTTTAATAAAGCATAGCAAATATATTCCGTTACTAATCTTTATTACAAATGGCATATTCTTATTAAGGGGAGGTAATTATGGGAGAACAGGATACATATCGGTAAATAAAACAAAATCAAGTCGATGACCTAAAAGAATTGAAGATGGGAAGGAAGCGGGCACTACAAACCAATATATATTTTTAGGTGGCCTATGCACAATTAAAAACTGAATCACTTTAATTTAGAAAGACTAACTTTATCAAAGTTATTTTTTCTTTCAAGTAAGCTTAAATTCAATGAATCTATGAAGCGAAAAGCACAGTATAACGGAATACCGTTAGGGCCATCGTGGTTGTACGTTATATTCCAGAGGGCGACAATGTGATAGTACGATGACGACAACGCGATAACACGAGGACGAAAATGCTATAGACTATCACATTATTGTCATCGTACTATCGCATTGTCGCCATCGCATTATCGCACTGTCGCATTGTCGTCATCGCATTGTCGCTATTGCATTGTCGCGTTGTCATCATCGCACTATCGTACTATCGCCATCGCGTTGTCGCACTATCACATTGTCGCCCTCTGGATTATAACGTTCAACCACGGTGCCCCTAACGGTATTCTGTACACTATTACTGATAGCAAAGTTTTTTTATTATTTTGATTTCTGACAAGGTCTAGCTGATCAACTAGCTAGCTGAACCAAAGCGTTTTGAGCCACTTATGACCTCCTGGGTCTAGTTCTGGCTTTCAAATATAATATGCCGTTTTTTCATCTGAGGAGGCATTTTATTCCCGTAATGTACAGTAAACTATAAATATGGGAACGTCGAATGTGTTTGACCAACCCGAATCCAGTGATAAATCTAATTCTCATATACATGGAGAGGACCAGATGAATAACCTTGGTGAGTAAAATTGGTGTGTAATTGTATTTTATGCATAATCAGTCATTTAAATAAGAGTGTTTCATTGTTTTTTAGTTTTGTGAATGGTATTAATACACTAAACGAAATCGATCATTCCGACAACCTTCTCTATGTACATGTATATATAGTGGTCAGAATAATTTTGTATATATATACTTGTATAGAATAATTACAACGATTCTTGTATAAACACTTATCATAGTATCATCATTTTATATCAGTAAATGCATTTTGTAAAAATTCAATCTTAAAAAGAAGCCAATAACTGATTTGGCATATATTTTGAAAACTCGAGCTTATCTGCAAGTTTAAATCTTAGTACTTATAAGTTTCATTAAGTATAGATTGTTTGATTGATGGAAGTTAGACTTGGTTCCCCGTGAGTCTTGAAAGGAGTCACTTTTCTCACATTGAGGGAGAGTTGTTAATTTCTTATGGTAAACGCATCTAGATCTCAGTGAACAAAAAATACACAGACCGTCCAAATTGTATGCCTGATTAGTGATGATATGATATGTATAACATAGCTAAATTACATTATTTAAGAAGAATATTCAAGCAAACTATAAAAACTTACATCATCTGACAAATCCCAGTCCGCCATGTTGCATCTTCTGGCTTAAAATGAGCGGCAATGCATCATCACAAATTACAAGTAACAACTTTGAAGTCACAAGTCATAACTCCCAAGTCAAAAGTCAAAAGTCATTAAGTCAGAAGTCAAAAGGGCCCTCCAGTGCTTCCATAGTTATGGGTATTTTAATTCGACGGGAAAAAACGTATTTATCAATAATACGCATAAAACTATGAAACGACTACATCAAAACGTTGAAATAGGCTATGTGAAATATTTGATAAAGCTATTTCGCAATTAATAGTACATTACAGGGTATGTTTTAACAAAAGCGAGTAAGACTATTTGCTTTTGTAGTCAGTGAAACAACAACAACACTAACAACAACACAAACGTCATTAAGATAGAACTACCAACTTTCCACCTACCCTTTGATGAAAAGCCTGTACGATATTTTACAAAACAGGTGAATGGCGGAGTTAGTTATCAATTATTTTATTATAAATCTATAATTCTGTAAAATAATGTTGTTGAAGCGTTATGAAAAAATATATATAGATGTTATGACAAATAAAAACAATTATTCTTTCACCTGTATATGCTATTCAAATGCTCGCTGATCGTGTGGTTCAGAATGGCAATTATTATAATTAAATTTATATATATTACAAACACTTCGAAAGTATTACAAGATAAAATGGCCTTTTCTACAAATATGTATATATACAGTATTGTATTAACTTGATGTATTATGGGATTAATCTTTTCTACTTATGGAATTATAAATGTGCTATTCTGATTAAGAGGTATTGCCACACATTTTCGGTCAGAAAATCTTAGGTCATAGATTAGCGGATTATCCTTTGATTTAAAGCGACCGTGTCGTGAAATTAATTCATCCAAATTTCTCGTTGTGCAACTGAAATGGTGATATAATTATTGACGGTATAGTTGTTAAATATATAAATGAAATCACAAGGTTTACACTCTTAAAGAGTTTTTAACATACTTTTTATCTGCAAGAATAGAACTTACTTTAATAGAGATATAAGAAATATATATATATTTTTATTGATAATAAAAAAAAAATTCATACCTATCTTTGTTTCGTTTTTTTTGCCGCACCAACACTCTAAAGGTCACAGTAGAGGAATAGCTCTATTGTATATTCTATGCTTAAAAGTGGTCCATCTGCCCTTTCAGGCACTCCGAGTACAGACCCCAAAATCACAGGCAGGTGCCGCTCCATGCATTATTTCAGGCACAAATAGACACTGGAGTAGAGACTAACTGGACAGCTTATTCACATTTAAGACCCCTTAGTAACCGACTGTAAGAATTTGTACCGACTTTGGTGATTGGTAAATGGCTTACGGTCAATGTCCCCAACCACTAGGCCAGGGACGCCAGTAGAAACCTGGAATTTAAGAGAACTGAAATAAAACGGGGCATAAACATGAATGTTTGGCTAAATTTGATTAAGAATTGATTTTATTTTTTGGCACCACCGATTAATGTACTTATAATTTACCCGCTTTAAGGCTTAACCTGTTTATGACTGAAACACTGCCTAAAAATTTTCAGTCCACCTAAACTCTACCCCTTCTTGTGTTGTACGGTTACCATGTAGTACGGAAAATATATTTATAACTCAACCTTAAAAATGGATTTTTCCGGATAATTTAAAAAAAAGGTATTATATGATAAAAATTCCTAGAAGAGTAAATGTGAAATATATATATGAAATATCATAACATGGTAAGTTTTTATATAAATTCATGAACGGAAACTGTATTTTTAGATTTTTCTTTGTTTTTCTTTTTGAATACTGGCTTACTGGTGTGTGTACGAATACATGGAAAAGACTCACTTAAAATTATCAGGCATAAAACAATGACAATAAACAATCCTTGAAAATTCAACAATATTCTATTTTTTTGGGGTGGGGGTCTTCAACGATCACGGTCAGTTAGCTGAAGTTGTTATGATTCTCTTTTTTTCAACGACAAATTTGTTTTCTATTTTGTAAAAACTAAACACAATAAAGAAGAATAAAAAGAAATGTTAAATGCATTTAAGAATGGATACTATACGGTACATTAAGATACAATACGGTACGATTCAGTACGATATGATCCAATACAATATGTAATAAAATACGAATACTAATTCAACGTCTCGTTATTATTATGTATTTATAATATTTCACGTTTGTAACGTCGCTTTTTATTGGATAACCGTAAAGTTTATTTAGTTTTTTATACACGGCTGCTGTCAATTTATGAAGAAATCTTATTAAAAATATGATGCTGGCTGTATTATTATTAGTTATAAATAGGTTATATGGCCTATTAACGGTTGTTTGGAAATATATATAACCCGAGCCTCGCGACTCGGTTTATATTTTTAAACAATGATTTATATAGGGTCATTTAACCTGTCAAAATCTTTATAACTTATAATAATATTGAGAACAAATGTAAATATCTGATATATGAAAGTCTCTTTATTTGTACATTATTTACAACATTACTATATGACATCATGTAGTAAAATTAAACTATATTGAAAAATAAATCATAACTATGAGTTAAATAAACGATTTGCTGGGATATGAATATATCAAATAAAAAGTGTAGATTTTCGGTTGTGATTCATCTTTAAGATTTTATTTCTGTTCAACGTTATATGAGGTAGTTATCTATGACTGTTCAAATCTATAATTGAATATCTAAGTTCGGTATTAAATAAGATATGTAAAATAATCCTTATAATTGAATATGTTAACTGACACAACATAGGGTAGTTAAATTCATTTAGTCATGGACAAATTACAGCATTGATAATCTACAATTAAAACGGCATAATTTTATGCACATAAATAAAATCGCTTCAATTACATGAATGTGGTATACTTTACCTCGGTTCGCTTTTTAAATTAATCAATTGTATTTGTGTATTTGAATGCAATGTACAATTGTTCATTATTATTAATACAATATCGATATTTGATATTGCATTGATTTTAAGAAAGTTTATATGAAATAAATACCCTATATCGGTGCCAAACTGCAATCTGTTGCCCTGTATGTCATTACACGGCTATATAAGTAATCATAGATTTAATTCAGACGAGTGTAACACATAGTTCATAAACTTTTATATATCTTAATAACGGATATAAATTTTAAAATGCAGGATTCATGCAGTGATAATTTTCAGTACTTTAATAATATGTTTTATAAATTACATGTTTACTTATTAGCTCAATAATTGTTCTTATACATGTATATGCTGAGTATAGTTATTACCTTTAAAAAAATACTCACGTCGTGTATATTTAGTAAAAGTGAGTTCGTCGGAGTTCTATTACAGTTGTCATTGAGCGAGTCAACCGCCGCGTCTTGGTTAAGTTTAATATAATTCTCTTACGTAATAATTTGATGTCACAAATGTATGCAAAAAAGAAAAGTGAGCACTTTATCTTGAATGATACTAAAATAAAAGTGGAACGTTTTTCCTGTCATGCAGATAGATCAAAACAATGTCTGAAGTGGACTCTTTAATTAACTCGGAGTGCGGCGACCCGCTGGAGTACGGCAGGAGGTCCAGCTGCTCATTAAGAAGCATGACCAGAAGAACAACCCCCGTACTGGCCTCAACACCAAACAGACGGACACCGACATTTAAAGGAAGCGCAACATTTATGGTAAACTATTTTCTATTTTTCCTTCTCAAATTATATGAAATTTAAGGTATGCTACGCGGAGAACTATTTAGTTTTTACGTGTCTAAATGATATTTGTCAGATGTAGAGTATTATTCAATATTTCATTAAGCATATGAACATATTTAAAAGTTCTTTACCCACATGTATAAACATGTAAGGCAGTGACATTTATTACAATGAGAAGAGGAGGTGAACATTGTTGGCTGTTGCGTAAAGCACACAACCAATTACAGTTTGAATATGGGGGAATATTGTACCTTTGTAGCTTTCTATAGAACAATTACCTCATAACATCAACAGTATTTAATATATTTTTCCCAAAATATGAAATGTTTTAGTTTTATTTGAACTCTCTCGAACAACATGTATCGGCAACAGCCTTTGTACATAGACCGATAGGGACATTTCAACTTCTTGAATTCGATCAACTTCATGAGTTCACAAATTCAATTTCAATAATTCAATTTTTTTTTTATTTCTGAATGTCGACTTTACAATTCTTAATCGGTTTGTAATCTTGACTACACGAACTTGTAATCTTGAAAACGTGAATTTGTAAAGTTGTATGTCACCACCGGTCTTTCGGATAAGTTGTACTGTATATAGTATAGCTCTTTACCTCAAAGCGTTCTATTTTAATTTTTATTGTTGAAATATCTGCAAACTTCATTGTAATTTGTTTTCATTATTATTTCAGAGATCTACATCATCTTCATCAAACAATAAAGCAGATGACGACTCTGAAAAAATTGCAATAAAAAACTTACTACAAAGTCGTCTGCTAATCACGCAAACCGGATATGAAGATGACGACGATATCGATCTAATTAGTTTTCAAAATGGACGTATGTCACGTGACACTGATTATGAAACTGACTTGGAGATGGATTATGATGGTAACTGAATTATTTTGCAGAAATGATTTAAAGGATCAAGACATGTTTAAACTACATCTTTGTTTAAATGTCTCATTTTCTTTATAAACTACTAATACAGCGTTTGGCATTGTATATTCGAGTAGTGAAGGGGCGTTGACGGTAACTTGCAAGCACTTTCCAGTACCGTCGAATAAGAGGCTCAATCAAACGGAATCTGCAACAGTTTCAATTTTGTCGTTTTGGGCGTTCTTTCTCATTTCCCATTTTCTTTAATTTGTTCTTGCAATCCTTCTTTTGTGTGCTTTGAAAAAAATGTTTAAAATTATGAATGTTATATCCTTACACGGGTATTTCATGCTCTAATAGTTCTCTTACCCGTTACTTTTTCATATTTACGTGTTTTGGAAAGCAAATCAGATTGCTTATGTTAGTCGGCAGTGTTACTAATGTGTCCATTGGTATCCCTAAAAAGCACAAAGACAAGCCGAAGATGGTCCTCTGTTTAACTTATAAGGGTACCTTAGCACATTGGTGCAATGATCGTAAACACAACACCAAATATCATAATAACAAAATAACATTGCAATTTACGGAAAACGGTCAAACATTAGCAATTTAAGCAAATAATTGTTTTTATTTGCATTCAGAATGGATTGCAGAAGACACAAACGAACTGAAAAACGACGCATCGGAAGAGAAGAAATACATACATATGTGTAATCAAACTGGTGAGATCCCTATATCATATTTTCTTCGACACATCAAAGACACAAAATTCCGTATGAGATATCATGGACTCGGACCAAATGGAGCCAAAGCTATATCAATGCCATTAAAGGTAGTGTGCATTGAAATAATTATATAGTAATCGTTTTTAAAAATATATTTTGATTATTTGAGTGTTGTATTGACGGATGTGTACATCAGCTGTTCTAATGTACAGTTCCATAAATACAAAGACGACTCCATAAATAAAAAGACGACTGGCGTAGGAGGTAAATTGCAAAGCAGGTAAACCACAAGTCGTGCTTAATCGTACAATAAAGTACTCAAAATCAAAAGCTAATTTCATTATAAAAACGAAACATGTAGAAATGTGTTACAAAAGAAATATTTATACGATCGGCTGAATTGATGAAACTTTTACACTATGACTTTCGTGTCTTTTTGCCTTTCATCGCGAAACTAAAAGAATCACTGACTACTTCTAGAATGAGTTTGCTCTTTATTTCACTTTGCCCCCACCACTCATTTTGTGATGATCAATTCTCTTTTCATATAAGCTTCCAGTGTTGAAATAAGATAAAATATGAAAGTACTTACTTAAAAGCACGTTTTAACTTTTTCAGGACAATCATAGTATTGAAGTGTTAGATTTAGAGGGAAACTGGATAGAGAAGGAAGGAACCATTCATCTTACAGAAATGATTAAAGAAAACCTTAACCTCACAGAAGTTGTAAGTAAACTAATGTTTCCAACCATTTCCAATCGACATCATGGCCTCAAACTTTTAAATCTTAGATTGTTAAATGTCCCTGGTAAGAAGTTTAAACAATCCTTTTCAAGTTAGCAGATACAAAAATTGGGCTCGCAACGGTAAAGACTCTGGTCAGACACGGATCGTCCTTCACTGCTTACAAAAGCTTATCACTTTCGATGGTTTAAAGTTTTTATTATAAACTAGAGGTTTTTTTAATGTAAACCTATTCGTTTACTACATTTCCCTCGGTACGATACTTCATGTTTGAAGCTTTCATTTTTTGTCATTTATGTTAATATGTTTACACGGAAAAGGCCATATGTTCATAATATTTAGGCAATTTTAAGTGCATCATTATCAAATTTAAGAGTGTGTTAGTTATAAAACGTGGAAGACACGAAACAAGGTACTCGAGTTTTCTTTCATGTTTCTTAAATATTGCAAACGGATTTAATATGTCACTAACCTGGTTATCTGTCTGTACTTACATCCATTTCACGAAATATCGGCCGGAAAAGAGCCGACGCATGTTTGTAATATATAGAACAGAGACAAGGTAAGAAGTATTTGTTGGGATAAAAGTTCGTCGGATCTTAAATTCGTGGATTGACCTACCCACGAAAACCACGAAAATTCGTGCCCCACGAATAATAATGATTTTACAGTATTTCATAAAACAATCAATTTCATATGTTCTTACAATCACCACACTATTTTAACAGTTGTTATATTTCAAGTTTCTAATAAACCATTGTTTACAAAGAAGCATATGAAATATAATTTCAAACAATATTTCAGTTAAAAAAGCTTGTTTTTTTTGTGTTTTCAGAACATAGCAGAAAACCGACTAGGTCGAGATGGGGCAGACGCAATATGTGAAATGTTATATAAGAATGAATCTTTGAAATCGTTAAATATGTCAGGTAATATGTATTTTAAATCTTTCTGTGATTTGATTAGTCTAAGGATTGCTAGCTGGACGCGTGTGGTCAAACCCCGTCATGGGCAAGCCTTCGTTTCCGTGAGCAAGAAATTTTACACTTATCGCTTAGTGTTGGTTGGATCCAGAAACGGATTCGAAATTGTTTCAATAAGCTTATAGCTTCCAACACAATCGAACTAAAATAGATAAGTATAAACTAAATAAAATATTGAAACCAAATACAAAGTTGGGATCTTTACATCTCCAACGATTTAAGTATACAATACACTGGTATAACGAAATCCGAATGTCCTACAAATGGTCTGCCAAAGTCTTACATGTATCCATGGTGGTAATGTAATAAGATAGTAATAAATCTATTGATCAAATTTGAAACTATATCGACATAATTTCTATGTTTCTATAAAATTATAATGTCGCTATGCAAATGACTGTACATCTCACTGGTTAGTGGAGAGCATTAGACAGTATAAACCACTTGCTTTCCGAGAGGAAAGATTTTTGTTTTTTCTTAAATGTTGAAATGATTTGTGATAAAGGTAGCAAATTGTAGACAATGTGGCATTCTGTCTTCCACACAAAGTATCAAATCACTATCACTGAATAAATTATATACTCGTATATATAAAATATATAATTACCAAAATACAAAAGTGCATAAGATGGCTCAGCTCTGTGGCTAATAAGTAACTTCTGGGGGCCCGTAACAGGGAACACAAAACATATGCTTTTGAAAAATATAAATAACATTTTAGGCGTGATATTCCTTTAAAACTACTGTTTTGTTTACATTTAATTGACGTTTATTACATTTTACGACCATTATGTCATAAAATTGTATATTCGACTCTTTTTACTTCACGTGATAAACGTCGAGCATGCTATTCGTTCATTGTTTAAGCTAAATAAAACACCTGTTTGAGCGTTAAAAGGAAGTAAGAAACATGTCCATATCTGAATCTCAATATACTTTTAAAAAATCTATAAAAGACCGGACTATATTGACCTTATTACAACAAGTTTAATCATTATTATTCTAGGTAATTATCTTCACGATTACGGTGCATCCAAGGTGTGCGATATGTTGAAGAAGAACACCACTTTAAGACATTTGTATCTAAGTAATAATAAATTCGAAGAGAGAGCCGCGCAGTGTTTCAAAGAAGCTTTGAGTCACAACGAAACACTGTTGACGTTAGACCTAAGCTGGAATCACTTCCGGACGAACGGGGCTGTGGCATTAGCTGAAGGTGTTCAGGTTGGTCCAGATATTCTTTTTCTAGCACAGAAAGTAGTTTTTGTGGACCGTTGTTTTGCAAAGTACACGGGTTATATACATGCATTTATACGCGTAATTTACACTTGCATGTAAACAGTTTTTAACTCGCATATTTGTGTTTCAAAAAATCTATCTCTCATTAGTTTACTTGATTTCTTAACAGGTTTACTAAGTCCTTCTTTACTTGATTTTAGAGCATGCCATTGATTACTTGCCTCCATTTTTCTTGGGTTTAGCATATTTGAGCGCAGAGAAAGGAAAAGCGACGGAAAATTTTCATGAATTCAGATGTTCGTTCATGGTTCATTTTTCCCGGGTTTCATATCTGTGACAACAGGAACGTGTTATTGTTTGACTATGATACAGACGAAGAGAAAGAACACCAAAAACACTTCGCATCTGATTAATACTCGGGGGCTTAGTTACAAATCAGATAGCTCGTGTCTTTTGCCTCTTTCTATTACGTTAACTCGCATATTTGTGATTCAAAAAAGCTATTTCTCAGTAGCATTTCTTGATTTGTCAACAGTTATACAAGTCCTTTTTTTCTTGATTTCACAATCACATTTTTCTTAAGTTCAATCGAAATATTTTGATGAAATTTAGAAAATAAAAAAAAGATATCTAGTGATATTTCAAACTTATGCTGAAAGTTTGTCCTTTTTTTATTTTTAAGGAAAATTACGGGTTGAAGAGTTTTAATGTATGTATGAATGGATTTAGTGAAATGGGTGCGGAGGCCCTTGGTAGAGCGTTGAAACACAACCGTGGTCTCACAGAACTCGATGTTAGTCATAACAGAATAGCAGATCATGGTGCTGGACATATTGCTCTTGGCTTACAGACTAACGATGTACTCAAAGTACTGAAGGTATAAAGAAAGATAGTTCTTCTTTGCTTTGGATTTAGGCGTTGATAATTCTTGCTTATTCATAACATACGCGCTATTTCATACACATTCGGGTTTGATAATATCGATTTGCCGAACAGAAGCACATAAAAAAAATCGGAAGACTGGAACCCAGGCTACCTCCATCTCTTATCTGAACAAACTCAAGAAACACGGCATAATATTGCTTTAAAAAGGCATTTCATGTATGTTTCAATTCTTAGCACCGTCAACGATGTCACATCTTAACCATTGGCTACAGCAGCTAGAAGCCATCTTCAATCTATGTTTTGTGTCTTTTATTCCGTGTACTGCAACTAAATCAGGGTGCAACAAAGTCAACCTTTAGCACGGAATTACCTGCACTCAAGCGTGCCCATTTACGCCTAGATGAAGTAGCTGTCATTCTGCAAATTGATGTGTTACACGTACATTATTCAACGTTTTTCTCTGACATTAAATAAAAAACGTTAACTTGGACACTTTGTAACAATGTATACTACATGTAGTATATAAAAGTAAATAATTTTGTACACATTAAATTTCCAATGCTTGATTTAACGATAAGGTATGATACCTTAATTCCAATTACAGCACGTGGTTTTATAACTTGTATAAAATCTTCTGTTTTCAGATTGGATATAATCCTATTGGTGAAGATGGTTCAATGGCATTACTTATGTCAATATCTAAAAATGATATGAGCGGAATGACAAGGCTAGATCTATCGGTAAATCCATGTATACCAATTATTAAAACACATCATGCCGCAGAAATACATATTTATTAAATTCTTTAGAAATGTCAAACGTGTGTCAAATGAAAATATAATGTTTTAATAATGGATTTAGACATGTTACACGTTTAACAGCTGAAGAAAGTTGCGTTGAACGTACATTAATGTGTCGTAAAGGTAGCAAGATGTAAACCAAAGGATATTTTGACTTCCATACAAAATACTAATTCACTATAATTATACCAATTGCCAACAAAGTAAAAAAAAAAGGAAATGACCACATCTATGTGACAAATGAATCTTATTGGAAACTTTACCAAGATACCAAGAATAGAAAATGTTTGCGAAATAAAAACGATATCATTTCTGAGGCATAATGGGCCTTCAAAATTTAACCTACCGTATTTGTGTAATGGATTTGCCCATTTTTGAATGTAGAAAATCTAAACTCAAGGGATTCCAATAAGTCAATATATAAATGATACTTTCAGTATAGGGTCTGGTCAAACTTCACGGAAGTGCATGCCAGCCTGACTCTTTACTGGTGGCAATGGGGAATCACTTTCGGGTTCACCTGGTTAAAGGTTAACTGAAATTTCCGGTTTTCAAGATCTAATGTTTAATATTGAAAGTACTCAACTGAAAAACGTCTTAAATCTTAATGGCGTATTGCCGCAAGGAATATTTACAAAACGCGCATTTTACCAGCCTACTACAAAAAGATTTTACTATAATTTTTATTATTAAACAATATGATATAATATTGGTTTGCCTTACCCGTGAACTTGAACCCAATGTTCTGGTAACGTGCGGTATAATATAATACATAGCACACAGTACTTCGGATATCATAGGATGAAAGTGGCCGAACTTTGGCTTGCTCACTGGCCACTTTAGTGCTATGAGGCCCTCAGTGCTGTGCACTATTTCTTAATCATTTATTTTACATTTATTCTCAATTTTCAGGATATATTCGTGTCAAAGGACTTCAGGGCTGTGCAAAATAAACTTGAATCCGAACGTGCCTTTACTGTTATTCATGCAGGTAAAGATATGCCCTTTTTAATCCATAGTTGAAACTAAATGATATATAAACAACGAAAGAAAAGAATTCTTACAGTATTTGCTAAATCACCAACAACTCAATATCTGTTCAATAGAAACTATGAAAGAATTACTGATTTATTTCAGTTATAGTTATTCAACAATATGTGGTAATTAGAACTTACTAAACAATAGCAATTTCAAGTCAAACATGTACCACACGAGCGTACCAGTTAGTCCAATCATTTACTGAATTCATGCGCAAAGGGCTAGTTGGCCTGACTCTATTGATTTCATGTACGGAGAGCTATTTGGGCCGACTCTTTACTGAATTATTTTACGGACGGCTAATTTACCTCAGTCTTAACAGAATTTAAGCAAGGACGCCAATTGGACCTGACTCTTACCATAATTAAAGCACGGATGGCTGGTTGGCCTGACTGTTAATTTATTAGTATGAAATGTAATGTCCTTGAAGATATTAATGTTGCTCACAATTTTGTAGGTGTGATAATGGATAAAGAGAATATTGCGGAAGGTGCAGAAAAAGAAGTTTTGGAAACGTTTCGTAGAAACCCGTATGAGAAGTTGAAGAAATACGTGAAGTCTGCTGGATATCGGCTGATTGATCTCTTCAAAGATTTTGATAAAGATGGCAGTGACACGATTACAACTGAAGAATTTACAAAAGGTTTAGAGGTATGCGTATAGGCAGCATCTGTCTCTTTGATTCCAGAACTTGTTTTTTTTTGTACTTCATAAACATAATTTAAGTGATTCTGTGTAAGACACGTGTACTTTACTTCAGTCTTGTTATATGTTCCTAAACCTTTGAGATCCTTGATTCCAGCACATTAAAGGTTACACATTGAGAACCTATCCAGCCGGTACTAGGGGACGTGAGGGATGTTGCACCTTTTAATTATCCCTCATGCACAGAATCAAACAAACTGAGTCTGCAATTTCCATGTAATTCTGTTTTTTAAATGCTTCAGATGGATCACCCATTTCCAAGATTTTTTAAATTGACGAAGGAAGAATATTCAATTAAAAGCTTCTCAATTTACAAAGTGGACTATCACGTTGCCTAATTGTTTTTTTTCTTTTGTTCTTCATTTTGCAATTCTATTTTCTATTCAATTTATTTTATATGCATTATTCAAGGTTTACCTAAACTGAATATATCAATTAACCAATTTAATAGTTTTATCATAATAAAGTATAAAAAATAAGATTTAAATCTATGGTTGCTTCCAGTTGGCCGGTGTTTCAATAACTAGAAGTGAAATAATGCAGCTGATCGAGCAGCTAGACATTAACAAAGACGGAATGATTGATTTCCGGTAAGTAATTATAATTATATGACGAAATTGTGTTTCCGGAAGATTTATACATTAGGCATAATTCACCAGTTTTTTGTTACTTATACAGTCAAATAAGCGTCGATTTGTTTTGGAGGAACACCTAAAACCTTGCATTAACTATATGATACGGAAAAAGGACGAAGTCATGCGATGTGCTCTGCCCGTGGGTGACAAACCGTACACTGATATATCAATTACAACTTGTTATTGCGCTAAATGACATATATGTGCCATCATGTTTCTTTTACTTCAAATTATCGGCGGTGCCCGCTCAAATGGCTTGAAAGGGAGACCTATATCCCAACCTCTGCACTGTGTGTTCGAATCGTAAAACATGCGCACATTTTCCTCTAATGATTTGGTTGCCGACAACATTTTTACCTACTGTTCAAGTTAGTTACATGTAAATATATATGTGGCAGTAACTTACAGAAAAATATCATATTAGTATTGATACAGAATCCAGTGGCATCTGTTTTGTATATACATGTGTAATAGGCAGTATATGACTGTTTTCTTAATTAAACTGGTCGTACCACTAACAAAACAATTACGCATCTTGTTACACATGACACGAAATCTTTACGTTCGTATGTTTCCGGTAAGAATGTTATATCAAATCCAATGATGTTTGTTTTAAAGATACTCTGTCCTTTTTCCCCGGAAAAAATGTCGAATTTAATTTTCATTTTTCACTGTGAGAACGTGTTTACATATTTAACTTACATCGAAATTCTTTGCTACACATCGCCATATTTCTTCCGCAGTTTTATAGTTGCATATAATTATAAGTTTTTAAGTAAGCCTGTTACACGTTATATTTTAATTTCAGTGAGCTTGTTTTGGGTGATAGAGAATACCGGAAGTCGTTGGTGGAAGAGCTACAGTGCCCGGATGAACGCAAGATTCAGAAAGATCCAAATAGATTACAGAGGGAAAGATCTTTAATGTTGGATGACATAATAAATAGCTGAAAAGAAATATTGTTTGATATGCAAAAATACATTGACAACAGTTATAAACAATGTGCTAGCTCGGCATTTTAGTATGACTGTTAAAGTTATACATAGTACTTAATCATAGTACCTAATTATGCAACTAAAAGAAAAAAGGTGTTTATTACTTGAAAACAATTGTTATATTGAGTTAAATTGTGAAAGAACAATTTGTGAAAGTGAAGATAAAGAATTGTGCAGATATCAGTAACTTATCAGTTGGTCACCACGGTTAACTAGTATTCTGTTATTTTGTTATTTTAGATTTAAGACTTGTTGTACCTACCCGTGCACGGGCATTTCTTCTGTGATATTGTAACACGTGTTTTGTACATTATTTGTAATAATTTGTTATATCTCACAGAAATGATTATTATGTATAAAATGTATCATTAAATAAATGATGAATTTCTTTTTCCTTGAAACATCTAATTCAAAACATAACACACACTTGTGACACCAAGATCGTTTTAGTTATATGAGCCGCGTCATGACAAAACCAACATAATGGGTTTGCGACCAGCATGGATCCTGATCAGACTGCGCGGATGCTGGTCGCAAACCCACTATGTTGGTTTTGTCGTGACGCGGCTCATATGTTATAACTAACTAGTCAGAGGTTGTCAGACTAAAAATTTGCTCAATGACTTCTGTAAATACGTATAAAGCGTTATGCTTAACATTATTTTTGCATTATGGGAACTGATCATGACACATTATCCTTCAATATATCTAATCTCTGATTAGATGCTTGAAAAGTGAATCGTTTTTTAATGTAACCGTTTAGATTTGTAAACAACAAAAACAACAAAACCAACGAAGAAACAAAAACAAAACACACACACGCACGCACGCACGCATGCGCGCGCACAAGCAAACAAACCAAATCGTTATCTTTTTGTTTACACAAACAGACGTCATTTTACTTGAAATATTTAATTCATCATATTAATTTGAACGAAATGCTATATATGATAAAAGTAAATGAAACGAAGATATATACATGTTAGAAAGTTATAGGAACAATTCAGCGACATTCCAATAAACCACCGTCGAGGGTGTTGATTTATCCAAAGTTGCGTCATTTCGGACAAACCGTGCGAACCAGTTAAATGTAAACGTATTAAAACAGCTATATCCGTCCGCTTAGCTATCTTCTTTTATCTTGCTGAAATAATTTGAATTAGCATACCACTATTGCTTAAATATTTCTATTTGATTTACTAGTATTTGTATTCTCTTTCCTTAATATAGAGTTCAATATCACATCGTACAAGTATAGCGGAATCCATTGTTATTGTATTCAATATCAATATCTATACTTGTAAAGTACAATATAATACTAGTCGCACACGATTCCTTGCATTTGTTTTGAAGCTTGGAGATCTTTACCCACAGAGCTTTTATTTTTCCAAATGCATATCAATTGTAGTTGATTGCAATAGAATTTAAAAGTGCATTTTCGTGATATAATTTCCTGAAATGTAAGGAAGCGGTCCGAGGGTAGCAGGGACTTTAGATACTGTTAGAAATTATCTGAGCCGTGTCATGAAAAAAACAACAGAATGGGTTTGCGACCAGCATGGATCTAGACCAGCCTGCGCACCCGCGCAGTCTGATCAGGATCCATGCTGTTCTGTTCGCGCTTACAAACCCTATTACAAGTAGAAAAACTGATAGCGAACAACATGGATCCTGATCAGACTTCGCGGATGCTCAGGCTGGTCTGTATCTATGCTGGTCGCAAACCCATTATGTTGGTTTTGTCGTGACGCGGCTCAATCCTTTCATAATGATTATCAAGAGTCTCTTACAAAAAAAACTAAACTGCTGGGTACCATATGAACGCTTTTGACGCGACACAGTCTGTATTATGAAGATTAATACTAAAAACCTCAAACCAATAGCACACACAGTCGTAAACTTGAACAATTTTACAACTTAATGACACTTGAACACTTCCTGAATATTTGTATATGTGCTCCTACACACACAATAATTTGCTTCAATACATTAATGCCATGTTCTTCCTCCCAAACAGGTGATTCTAAATTAACAAAATGTCTAGGAAATTTTTTAATTTTTCTGATACTGATGAGGGTAATAAAAAAACAAAATCCTATAGGCACATCATTGTGGTAGTGTTAGTACTGTGTATTTCCTTTGTTATCGGACTTTTAATTGGTCATTTCGGAATAGAAAAAGATTCCAATTCTTCAAAAGAAGGTACACATAGTGGTGATGGCGTTTTTCTTCCGGGAGTACCGGAAGCGATTGTAAGAGACGCTGACCCGACTGTGAGTGATTGGATTTTGAAAGAACTAAATGCAGAAAGGATTCGGGAGAATCTTAGGTTTGTGTGTTTTAAATTAAAAAGAAAACAACAACAGTACGTTGCTCGTCGTTTTCATCTTTACTGTATATGGTTATGTTGATTTATTATTCAACAAACTAAATTTTCTCAACATTAATTGCTTAAACAATACTAACTAGATTGTTTTGAAAGTGTACGTTTGGTCGAAAATAATGTTTTTTTCCAACTTGAATTTTAGAATAGAAAATAAAGAAATCACAAACCGATGAATAGTAAAATCATACTTAATGATAAAGAGAATCTAATTGAACGAACCGTCCATAATTGTTGTGAACAACAGTTTTCTCTTGACCCAGTAGGTAGTGGAGGTTACGCACGTATTCAATTCGAGCTGTTTAAACGTGTTCATTTTGACATTTTCTCTGTACAATCACACTGATAACTATTTTAGGAACCTGGTAAGTAGTCCACATGTAGCAGGTACAGCTCGTGACTTCGAACAAGCAAACGATATTCGAAAATTCTGGTTGGACGTCGGCCTAGATGTCGCTGAAACAACACCGTATGACATATTACTGTCTTACCCAGATGACGTCAAACCTAATCTTCTTAAAGTTTTAAATTCGACGTCAGAAATAGTGCTGCAGTCTCCAGATAACGAGCTTAATTTGACAAGTGAAGAAAAACCTTGGGATTTTCCTTTTCCGTATCTCGGATACTCTGGGAATGGAACAGTCCAGGTAAGGTTCTTTTTATACGCCTGTTTGAAAAAAGAAACGGCACTTATTAAAAGATCGCCCTTAGCCACCATTAACCACCATTAACATGTGCACCATTAGCACATGAACTAGATTTCCTGGTCAAAGGTCAAGGTTAAACTTAGAGGTCAAAGGTTAACTTATTTGCTTGTCCCTAGCGAAACTTCTACTTGCATTGAAGGATTTCTATAGAACTTTTCTACATTTTGAACAATTTGCTGTGCATTTATATTGGCACATGCAAATATCCAAGGTCAGATAAGAAAATGAAAATGAGCCCTTTAGTCCCCATGAATTAAGATATTTTACTCTAAACGTTCACTTTTATGAAACTAGAGCACTTGTAATGGGCATATTGTGTGATAATAACATTCTTGTTTTTTAATCGTTAATGTGTTGTTGATCTAATGTTTTTTTTCTGTTGCTTCGATATCAGATGATTCCATTACTAGTGTTGGTGGTTGCACATAACACTTTCTCTCTTGAACAGACCAATTAACCGAGTCTGAAAAATTAATGTCTGCAAACTATTTGACAAAGACCAAATGGATAACTCGTCGGGCAAGTAATCTCCGGATCTGTAGCTACGTAGACTTTACCCAGACCAGGACAAGCCATTGATTTTGTTAGCAAATACCTTTACACACATTGCTCGGTACTTGTTTGTTCCAGGTAATCTTAAGAACTGAAAGATACAAATCTGTATAAACTAAATATTTGCTTTGTTTAAATTTGCCCTAGAGGAGATTCCCCTTTTTCAGATTCACATTCCGGCATGACGTTAGTCTATACATTTTAAGCAATCATAGTTTGGGGACCTTTCTAGTCAAAATTTGTCAGAGTTAAATCGTATACATATACACGCACGTATTAGTTACCCGCACACCAGAGCATATCCATTGTTTTGCTCATATTTCTGGGGTTAACTCATTTTGACGACAGGGAAAGGGATATCGATAGAAAAATCATAGTCTAATGCTCGTACTTTGATTCCTTTTTTCTGGGGTTTAATATTGTAACGACAGGGAACGTGTTTTTATACAAAAGAGAAAGGATAGAAAAACACTCGTCAATATGATTTATACTCGTACAAATCAGATAGCCTCGTGTTTCGATGCTCTTTCTATTACTAACTTGTTCAAAAATGTGGGTATCCTGTCATATACCATTTCGTGTGGCAATAAACGTGAACGTCAAGTGAGCTGTGAGCTATGTGTAAACATCTAAATGTCAAATGTCGCACTTAACTCCTAAATTTTGCTTGTAAATCAACAAGCTCGTCAGTGAATACCATATATTTATAATGATATTCATCAAGTTGACTATAAATCTTTGTAATCTTAAGTATGACATCTGTTCATTCTCTTGTTTTTAATCGCGAGTCATTCCAAACACAGTTTCAGTTACTTTAAAACATTTTTATCTTATAGATATTGTAGTGTTACACCCCAGTTACACAGAGCCATCGGTGGTTGATCGGTAGTTTTTTTAGTCAAATTATGGAGTGAACCGATGGCAACGTATTTATCACCGATATCACCTATTGGTCACCTGTTTTCCACCTATCAACTGCTAATGGGGAAAGATAAGTTTCATCGGTGAAAAATTACCGATTGGGATTATTAAACACGTTTAAAATTCTCGATCGGTGAAAATATTTTAAAAATAACCGACGGCAACCTTTACCACGAGATGTGCAAGCTCTTAATCACCGATATCACCGATCGGACAAAGATAACCAAATATGAATCACCGGCCATATCTGACGGAAAGTGTTTAACCACTGATGACTAGCTATCAAACACCGATTAATCAGCGTTACGCCCGATTTATAGCTCCGATTTACAAACGATAAAAACCAAAAGTATTTCAGCATTCAATCATCGACCCATTCCCGTTTAGGTTTGCTTTTTGTCACCGATGGCCGTTTACACAGAAAACCAGAAATAAAATCACGCATGACAACCGATCATAACAGCGAGTAAATTTAAAATTTAATGACCGATTGGGGACCGACCGTCTGTGTTACTGGGCCAAATAGAATATCCCAAGTCCCAAGCAAGATCTACCTACTTTTATAGAAGATTTGCACGAGAACACAATATGAAATCTGGTTATTTGAAAACGCTAACAACAACAAACAGTAACTTTAATTTAACCTAAAATTACCTTAAAATTTGGATACGGGTTGTATCCCCGACTTACATTTTTATGTTAACTGATGTTATATACATATATATTTTTTTATAAATCAGGGACGCATAGTTTATGTAAATTATGCGCGGACGGAGGACTTTGATTACCTAGAGGCAAATAAAGTTGATGTCAGTAGGTGCATTGTTTTAGCACGATATGGTAAAGGTGGTCGCTCTGGAAAGGTTGTTATTATATAATTTGTTACTAGTATAAGATATTATTCTTCCATAGAAATTTAGTTCCACTTAAGTATGATTATTAGGTGTAGGTGTTTGATAACAAAGATATATTTACACAGATTATGTATTTTGATTTTATTTTCTCAAACAACATTTTTGTTCATAACTTAAAACATCTGAAATTGAGAAAATACATGTAGTTATATTTCGGTACAGGATTTCATATTTGCTAAAACATCATATGATTTTTCAAACAATCTTGTTGCCAGTGCATAACATGCTATTTGTTATTTATGTATAATAAAATATCATACATGTTCGTTGGATTATGTAAAAAGATTTTTTTCTTATCAAAATTATATAAATTAAGTGTTGTATCATTATAGAAAGTAAAATTGAAATGTGTATATGAACGAAAAGTATTTACAGTACATATGTGATTTTATAGTCGATTATCCAACTTTTAAGGTTCATTTTATCTGGCTTAAAATTTATAACGAAATTGTGATGTTTCCATTGCAAGGTAAAACGAGCCGAGGACAGAGGTGCTATAGGTGTGATCCTGTATTCAGACCCCGCAGATTACATTGCTCCTTGGGTATCGGACGATTATTACCCGGATTCTGTATGGATACCGCCAACAGCGACCTCTCGTGGCAGCATATTTAGGGGGACCGGTGATCCACTAACTCCCGGGTATCCTGCCATTGGTAAAACTACACAAAATATTACTCTGTTATAGCTATATAACAATCAATCAATCAATCATTCATTCAATCAATCGGTCGGTTGGTCGGTCGATCAATCGATCAGTCATTAATACAGAATATTTATAAGTGATAAAATTGCACTTTATAGATTATCATCAAAAAGGAGAAATATGTTATCATTTAAAAACAGTTGTTTACTTGTAAATATACATCTTAATGATATAAAATTCAAGTTAAATTAAAAAGTAAAATTACTAAAATGATATAAAGATACAAATCATTGCGATGGAAATCTTACGATTTACAATCTTTAGGTGCTATTGTTGTTTCTATAACACTGACCATATGAATAAACAAAAAAGTATGTACATTGAGCAAAACTATTTCCTTTTAGTATGAAATAAATCGACATTTTAAAACCTGTTATATGCTTTCGCGGTACTATTAACCCATAACTTCATGAGCATTTTGTGAAAAATGGCTGTTTTCATTGAAAAGTCTCCCGTTACAAGTTCAAATTGCTATAATACTAAAAGTGCTTCAACACTAATCAAACTTGGCACAAATGTTGACTGGACCATTGCGCTTGCAACAACATGCTCTGGCTTAAATTTTCTGTTACCGTGGCAACGAGGGGACATCTCAAAATTGCCAAAAATCACTATTTTGCGTTGATTTTTTCCATTATAATTGATTTCAAAGTGCTGCAACTTCTCAATGGATTGAGATAGAGTCAAATGCTTTTCAGTGTTGGTTACACGTTACCTTATGATCAATCTGGGGTTATTTATAGCCTCTCACAAGTCCAAAATTCTCTTGGCGATGAGGGGGACTCCGCCCCCCCTTCAAACCCCCCAAACAGAAGGGGGAACATCCCCCTTCTGGCAACCCCCTGATGTATCTTTTGGTTGGGGGGCCGCGCCGAAAAAGTGGTCACTTTTTTTAACAACATTTCGCAAACAAAAACAAGTGTTAAGGGCCTAATAATGCATTTTTTCACCATTTGAGACAACAAAAAGAGGGGGGGGGGGGAGGCGTTAAAATGCGTGTATATGAAGTAATGGGTTAAAGTACGAGAGTATACGAGATTTCAGTATATATACAATGTATTTTAAGCGTCAGCATATAGGTATGATGAGACGGACGAAGAGTCACAACTACCTATGATACCTGCCATGCCGATAGGATTTCAGTTTGCTGAGAAACTTTCTAGAGTAAGATCATTTCACAGGAAAACTCGAGTTTAAAGCGAAAAAAAAATATATATTAATAAAATTGTTTCTAAAAAAATAATCAAAAAAAAAAAAATCCTTTCCATTAGAAAGGATGTTTTATTTTTTTAAACATTTTTTTTTTCATTTTAAACTTCAGTTACAGTGGTCATATATCCATTGCTATGAATAATCCTTATATTAATACAATGTATTTAAAACAAAGAAAATTTTTTTACAATAAAAGAAAAAGATATTATTTAAAAGAAAGTAAGTAATGTTGATATGCTACAGTACAGTAGATGGGGTAGGTTATATGACATGTATGTGCGCGTTACGTATCACAATATTTGTACAAATGAAATGAGAAGAAAATCAACAAAAAAACAAAACAAAAAAACAAACAAATATACAAGGATAAAATATTAACAAACTGCAAAATTGATTATTAAAGTAAATGAAAAAAAGTATTAGAAAGCTAATATTCCTTAAACCCTTTGACTATTTTTGTTTTAGTTTCATCATTTTTTTAATACGATAAGTACGTGAAGATCAATTATTTAATCATAATGTTTATTTCATATTGCAGGATGATGGGCGGGGAAGATGCGCCAAGTGGTTGGACTGGACGACTCTTGAACCAGACCTCGTACAAAATTGGTCCTGGCTTTAACGACTCTTCATTGTAATATTTTTGTTTATTTTGTTTCATAGATCAAATTCTAATTCTAACAAATATATATATATATATATAAAACTGATTGATATGTTTTAAAACTTTACAGAACTGCTTCTCAAACGGATATTTGGGAATTTGTTTTGACCGACAGACAGAAAACTGAAAAAAAACTAAAAAATAAAAATAGTCATGCCAATACTAAAACTATTTATAGGTGTATTATTTCTATTAAAGGACCGTTATACCCTATAAATGCTTTAATTTTCATTTCTCAGAAGATTTTTATTTTTCAATTACTTTGATAGTTTCCAAAAAGTTACTCATTAACTAAAAGAACCTTCTTTTTCTTCTGTTGCTGTTTTGGCAATTACTACAGTTATAGTAATTTAGTATTTTGTTTGGGAGTCAAAATACTAGTTTGCTTACATTTTGTTATTTTTATGACAAATAATTTTACATTTAGCGCTACTTTTATCAGGTACAAAGCATGTAGCATGCTCTAAAAACCACAATTTAAACATGATGAAACTCATATTTGCCCTTTCTAAAGAAATAAAAAAATATTCTTTCTGATAAATAACATTAGTTTAAAGAACTGTTCTTCAGGTTTAAAGTTTGGTAAAGCTATCTACTTCACCAGAATAAACTCACCGATTCAATACATTGAAAAAAGAATAAACTCACTGATTCAATACATTGAAAAATTTCTTGAGCGTTAAAGGCAGTTTTTGTTTTTTCATTTCAGAATGTTAGAGCTAAGTGTACACACAAGAAATGAACGGAGAATTTCTTACAATGCATTTGGAATGATACGAGGAGAGGTAGAGCCAGGTATTTTCTGTAAATCAGTTCTATAAAATAATTAAAAAATGAATTGGTCTAACAAAAAAACTACGGAAGAAATGTATTAGGATGTTGTTAGCAAGTGTGAGATACATGATCCAACATATTTGTATAGCAGAAAACAAAATATAATTGTTCATCATATAGATGTTCTTACAAAATTACAATTGTATTAACACCTTTTTTTCAAGCAGTATGTTATAAGAATATCAAAATGAAACATATATATTTTCTTATCAATATTTGAAATACTTATGGAAAAAATGTGTACATTGTAGACCAATAACTGAAAAAAATGTCATACATTTCATGCTGTATAAGGTCTATTACATATCAGTCTGTTTTTGAAAATTCTTAGGAATATCAGCACTGTACAATAAAACGTCAGCATTATTTCAGATCGGTACGTAATGCTTGGTAACCATAGGGATTCCTGGGTTTTAGGAGCCATCGACCCTTCAAGTGGTACAGCTACAATGATGGAGTTATCACGGGTACTAGGACAACTTGTCAAGGAGGGTAAATTATTTTAAAAAGAGCATAGTTGTAGATAACACTCACTTACTGTAATAAGAATTTTATAGGCTGACAAATTTGATATTTCCTGGATGTACGATAGAACTATTTCACTCCTAGTCTGCAAATACAAATGTGCTGTAAATTTCAAATAGTTTGTATGGAGTGATGGTTCTTTGACTAAAGACTTTTGGTCTATTGTACGAAAACTTTTGGCTGGGGATTGATATTTTCGAGACCATGATTGTTATGAGATATCAAATTAATAAAAATAGTTGTAGTAATAATATATATATTTCATCATTTCTTATTTAATTTAGCTAGCTCAATAATGTTCGTTTCTGTTTTAAGGTAAATGGAGGCCCCGTCGTTCTATTATATTTTGTAGCTGGGGAGCAGAAGAATTTGGGCTCATTGGCTCGACAGAATGGATCGAGGTGACTTCATGGCTTTTTTCTTTTTAGATTTAATTTTATAATTGATTTCTACTATTTATTAATTTTTATCAGCTGCTTGGTGACAATATGCGCTTTTATTGACACTGTGTGTCAATTGGAACTTTATTTGAAGATTCTTTGGTAACTGAACAGTAAAACATGGATCCATTCATATTACGTGTTACCTATACAGTAGCAAAACTTCTGTCATGCCAGGGAAACTTAGACCTAACTTTTTTATAATTATGCTTCATTTACCTTAATATCTTATACATATATAACATGGGTTATAAGTGACATTTACTTATTAAAAGAAATACATGTACTTTCAGGAAAACAGCAATGTGCTAGATTTCCGATCTGTGGCGTACATTAATATGGACATAGCAGTCACTGGTCAGTACATACATTAATACGAAATAAATAGATTCAATTATTTGACCAAAACCACAAAATAAATACATTGACATGTATTATAAATTAATGAGCAACCATAACGATTATGTTCTTCAGTTACTATCTTTTATTATCTTAAATTCTTAAGTGCTTGTGAACTGGATTTGTAAGTGAAATTAACCCTTTAAGCACCTATAGAGCAGGAGCATCAACGCAAGAATACCTTGCTTTTTTAACCGCCTTTGTGGCCGAGGGGTTAGAGTCGATGACTTCTATTCCAGTTACCTCTCCAGGAACGATGGTTAGGAAACTATGAAATACTGTTGGGAAAAGGCGTAAAATGAAACAAACAAACCTTGCCTTTTTAACATTTCTCTTTTATTTTTTGGGAATAACTCCTTGCAATTTTACATTTTGGTATGTTAGCAATTGTCTTTGATATACTATCTCCTTATTAAAGATAATCAACCTTGATTATAAATACAAATTTAGTCACCATTTTGTCAAATTTTAATCCTTATTCTGTTCGAACCTGACGTGAAAAACCTTTACCACTAGTTACTTTCTGTACTTTCTGGCAAACGAACACTGCCTTTTAACCTGGACAAATTGCATTGTATGTATTCATGTTCTACGCACGAGGCCCATAATCCGAAGTTACTATACGAAAATAGGCGATGTTTTATGTCGCTAACATTTTGTATCGTAAAACTTACATCCTAATTGGACGTTCCAAATTTAAAGCAGGATATGGCCATTATATAAATTCAGCAGGTTTTAGGGTATAACAATGCTGGTTAATGTTTTGATGTATATTCAGGAAATTATTCTATTCGTGGTCTTGGAAGTCCTCCAGTTTTCTCCGCCATGTATCGAGCAGCACAAAAGGTAAGATCAAACTTTCTTATGTACTTTCTACAAATATCAGGGTCTTTTGACTTTGTTCCTTAAAATCATGTCCTTAATGACCTCTCTGCTTGTCAATGCACGCAACTAGCATCGATGTCTTTCTACTTATGGTACATGTACATAAATAAAACTTAGATTACATCGATATTGTTAGAAATATTTATTATGTTACACTCTGGGTACTGTAGACGAGTATTGAATTGAATCTGTCTGTACATCCAGTTAGTGATAAAATGTACGACTGGGCCCAAAAAATGTAAACAGGGAAATATGTTAACAGAGAAACTAATTCAATTTTTTTTGACTAAATGGTTTTGTACGAGTATAAAGCTAGTTAATAACATTAGTAGTCATTTACAGGTTCCAAATCCAAACACGAGCGATACCGAGCACCCAACGGTTTACGACACATGGAAGGCGAGGAGAACGCTAAATAACCCGGAGGATGGTTCCAGTCTTAATATTCCAAAGTATAATTATAATGGTTGCATATATCTTTGAGATAAGAGAAATATATTACACGGACCCAGACGTCGACAGAATAGCAAACATATCTGTGTTATATAGTTGTTAGAATTTATAATTATTGTCGTCTGCTTAAAATATTTTTGTACAGTACTAGTATTGGCTAAAGCCATAATTATGATCTACATTGTGTTGGTGCGCCGTAAAACCAAACCAAACAATCAATTATTGGCTAAACTTGTTAGCAGAAGATAAGCAATTTAGACATGTAAGAAGGAATATCGGTTTCAGCTATATTGCAACAAATCTATGAAAATTTGAACAAAACAGCTAGTTAATGAGTCATTTTATCATATTAAGCTCGATTTAGAATTGGCCTTACCTTGCTACTTTTTGTGACTTTCAAGGACCAGATTAGAACATACAAAAACATGCCGACTGACCTTTTTTAGGGCAATTTTTAATACCGGAAGTGCCATATGATCTACACTGTGTTGGTGCGCTGGAAAACCAAAGACAACAAAAAAAAGTTGGCGAAACTCGTTAGCAGAAGATTAACAATTTAGACATGTAAGAAAGAATACCGATTTCATCGGTATTGCAACAAATCTATTAAAATTTGGACAAAACAGTAATAAGTCAATTCACCATAAACTCGATTTAGAATTGGCCTTACCCTAGCTACTTTTTTGTGACTTTCAAGGACCAGATTTGTACCGGAAAGACTAAAGATACAACAAACATGCCGACTGGCCTCTTTTAGGGGCATTTTTTAATACCGGAAGTGTCTGTAATTGACGAAATTAAACGAGCTATCAATTTATGGCAGGTTAAATATAAAATATTCTTGTTTGAATTTTTTTTTTATATTTTTACCTTGAAACAAGTTTACAACTTATCTATAAATTTCATTTGAGCCGCGTCACGACAAAACCAACATAGTGGGATTGCGACCAGCATGGATCCAGACCAGCCTGCGTATCCGCGCAGTCTGATCAGGATCCATGCTGTTGGCTTACCAACTCTATTACAAGTGGAGAAACTGATAGCGAACATGCGCAGGCTGGTCTGGATCCATGCTTGTCGCAATCCTACTATGTTGGTTTTGTCATGACGCTGCTTAAATTTCATTTCTTAATTTGATAAAGAATCAGCTCTCCTGGTGCTGGTAGTGACTATGGTACGTTTCAGATACGAGCTGGTATACCTTGTGCAGACTTTCGATATGATCAAGACTATGTAAGTATGGTAAATTACAAAGAATACATGAGTTTCCGTTAGTTATTCCCGCATATAAATATGTTTATGAAAATTTAGAATGAATTTATTGTTAAAATAAAAAATATGGGCATTTTACAGTTGATCCTATTTTTGAGCTTGGTCCTTAAATTGATCCTTATTTTGATCTCATTATTTTTGTTTTGTATTGCTGTTTCTGTAACAAGGGTTGTTTCTTTGGAAAACAGCACATGTTTACATTTTGTTTATGTACAAAATAAGTTCATAAGTTTTATTTTCATACGATTCAAGCAGATGCTTAGTTCATTACTTTGTAGAAGGCATAGTTTTATTTCGCACTCATAAAATCAAGCATATCATTTCAGATATTTTATTACACTATTTGATAAAAAGAATCAGGCAGTGAAATTGTCGGAATGACATTTAAATTTGAATATCATATTACACATTGACAATGATTCAAGGCCCGCAATACTTATATAATTATGACATATTTTGATATATTGACTTTAACTAAAATGCTGTAATTTTAATATTTGCAGGCAGGGGAGGGAATCCTGTTTTACCCTCTTTACCACACGAGTTACGAGACTTTCTACGCCGTAGATGAACTGATTGATCCAGGATTTGTTGTAAGATAATACATCTATTGGAAAAATTACAATGGACATAATGTTGTCTCTTAGTTTTATATGCTGTACATTGTATGCTTTCTTGAATTGATACTCAAAGACATTGCTTATTACCAAAGGTATTGACAAATGTTTTTCAGTTTTTCAACCTTGCAGAAAATATGTAAGACTCGTCACTTTTTTCATTTCGTTAAATAACAAAATCATTGTTTAAACACGGATTTAATAAAAAACTATTGTTAAAATAAAAGTTAAAAATAACAAAAATGTCAATTCGGCTTTTAGTGGCCAAGTTTCGCTTTTGCAGGATATCAGTATAATTGTGTAAATGTTAACGAAACTGTCAGCAACATAAGCATTATCGTGATGAATATCGCACAGAAAATGGCGACTTTAACCAAATAAATACGTCATGTTCTTTGTAAGGGGGCAGGGGACCTAAAAATGAACAATTTTGTATTTCAGTGTGACCAGAAACACAATTCCAAATATTTCAAAATCTGTTTTACAGGCAGATAACCAGTTGCACAGGATTATTCAATGATATATGACATACATTGAAGAAAATAATAGTTTGCATGCATTGCTCCTTCAAAAAATGACTGACAGCAATTTATATTTACCCCCACCCAGCCAAAATCACACCTAAAATATACCAATATGGGCAATCTTCATGAAGGTGCAGCATACTCCAGAATCCGCCCGATTCCTTTAAAAATATCAGTAACACGCAGTGCAAGCTATGGCATTTTCAGAAATGACCAATAAAGTGTCTGTCATACGTTTAGATTTTTCACAAAATTTATCTGAAATTTCTTACTTGTTTGGCGCCAACTGTCAAAGCTTGATTTTTAACTTTTTCACCTCCATTCGGAGAGTCAGAAATACATATAAAGCTACCAAAATGCTTAGTTTCGGGTAAAAACCCAAAAATACTTCTCATTTCCTACACACAAACAAGAAAGAATTACAATGACAGAGAAATATCAGAAGTTATCAGTACCTTCAAAACACCATGTCTGAGTTATAAAAAAATTTGACCGGGGCCATCATTCGAATATGTCCCCTGCCCCCTAAGTGTTGATGAAATTTACGAAAAACTTTGTCGTAATTTGTTTCAGTTACACTCTACGATAGGGAAGATGTCTGGCGAACTTCTCAGGGACCTTGCCGACTCCAAGATTATACCTTTCAATATGTCCGACTACGGACTGTTTCTAGAGCATTATACTTATGCCATGGAGAAAAATGCGTCCCAGGAGATTATAGACTACAATATAAATATAAGTAAGGATACTGTTTTTATCTCTTGACCTAGATGTTCATCTTGGTGACATACTTAATTGACCTAAGCCATGAGGTATTATTTCTCGGTACACAGTAAGAGAGACTGTGACTTGTAAGTTTATCGTAGTGTTTGAAAATACTGAAAGGTTCGATCCCGAAACCTTACCGTTTAGTACATAATCCGATCAGTTAAAAACTAGGCTGTTGTCTGTTGTTTTCTGACATATTGTAACGTTTTATTATAATTACGGTTTCGATTTTTCAAAGTAATAATTTGTTTTAGGGCCCGTCTACACCTATCCAAGTCTTGAATGCAAGTATCATATTCTCTTGTATTGCATAGTGTACCCCATAGTGCACCCTACTTAAATGAGTTTTAAAGAGAAATTATGTGACATCCAAGAAGATAATTCCTTGCAAGAAAGTTAGAACACGTTCTATTTTTCTACAAGTTTTTGGCTGTCAAGACACTGATAACACCGGTTTGACACATAACATGTGCCCCGAAGGTGTGATAGTGTTGTTTTTTTTATTATTTTCTGACTTTTTTTGTAACTGATTCGTAAATTTTAGTAAATGTATACAATATCTTGGTCAGAGGAACAGATCAATACACTGATACACAGAAGAGCAAAAAAAAAAAACACAGAAGAGCAAAAAAAAAAAAAAAAAAAAAAAAAAAAAAAAAAAAAAAGAAAAGAAAAAGAAAAGAAAAAAAAATCAGTTTTTCAAGTAGTCAAAATGGATTTTAAAATGATCAATTTATCAGCTCAAAAATATTTTTCTCACATTTTCCATTATTTTAAAAGAATGTACACATTTCAATTTCATTTACTCCATTGTTTTTTACTCGTAACTAATTGCATCATTTTCCCGCTTTTTTATTCACATATTTTACAGAAACATGATAGTATTGCAAAGACAAAGGTATAAATCCTGGGCTATCTTAATTAGACATTTCAGTAAGAATTGTGCCTGATTAAATATTGAAAGGGCCATTTATTTAGCTTATCTAAATGTGACATGTAAGAAACTTGAATAGGTGTAGACACGGCCTTAGAATGTACTGAACATTTTGAAACATGTTTTCTTTTTAGTTATTTTAGTAAATTTTTTGAAATTTTTAAATTACAGCTGAGCTCCATCGAGTGATCGACTTGTACAAAGAGGAAGCGGTCAATTTTCACAAAATTGCTAACAATGTTAATACCAACAAGTAAGCAAGAAATATACACAGCTACCCCTGGGATATTGTAAACACTGTTATCTATGAAAAATAAGAAATCGAGACTAGCATATTTCAGCATACTTCGAGGCTTATAATAATCAACGTTTAAAAGTAAAGCTCTTCTGTACTTTAGAATAACACAGAACACTTTTGAAAACTGTAGAGTTGTTATAGATTCCTAAATTAATTGCAACAGAGCCCAACAATTCTTGAAGTGAAACAACTCCAAATTTTGGTCTCCATTTACAATGATCGACTGAATTGTTCTTTGCCTTGACCTAAATTATAGACTTAAAGCAAATATTATTTTGTCGTATCCGAGCAATAGATCTTTTTGACATCATTCATTGAGCTGTCTGCGGATAATTTTGCAGTTGCGTGATTTTTAGATATAAATTCCTTTTCCAAAAGATGTTCCTATATTAAGAAGTGTTTTTATGCCAATACCATTCTTTGATGCTTCATGTTACGATTGTTAATATTTAAGCCCCGTCGACGTAAGGCGGATTAATGACCAGATGATCCAACTTGAGAGAACGTTTCTTGATCCAGCAAGTTTGCCAGGTCGGACACAGCTTTACAGGTACAAACACCCAATATTATATATTTTGAGCCGCGTCACGACAAAACCAGACAGTGCGTTTGCGACCAGCATGGATCCAGACCAGCCTGCGCATCCGCGCAGCCTGATCAGGATCCATGCTGTTCGCTTACCAACCCTATTACAAGTAGAGAAACTGATAGCGAACAACATGGATCCTGATCAGACTGCGCGGATTCGCAGGCTGGTCTGGATCCATGCTGGGCGCAAACCCATTATGTCGGTTTTGTCATGGCGCCGCTCATTTATATCTTTTTATTGCCATGATTCTATTTGTCTGACTAAGACTTTTACCTCTAGATGAATTTTGAGCCAAATTGAATAAGAAATTGACTGTTGTACTGTGAAATATTACCAAAATTATGTATTAGATTTTAGAAATTTATTGGCGATTTGAAAGTTTATTTTTAATGAAGTTATTAAGCAGTGAAATCAATTATGGTACCCTGCCCTTGCACACGTTTATGTAAAATGATATATTTTGGTATGTTCATTTAAAGTTACAAACATTTATACAGGTATTCGTGTAGTAATGTCGGTGTAACTTAAGAAACAAACAAACAAACAACCAACCACAACAACAACCACAACAACAAAAACACACAGTCAAAAACATAACAAAAAAAAAACAACAAAAATCCCAAAAACAAAAACAAATAAACATAAAGTAATATGTATTTTAACTTTTAGACATTTGATTCACTCCACGCCGCAAAACAGCGCAATTCCCGAGGCAAGTTTTCCGGGGATGCAAGACGCTATATACAAGCTACGTCAAGAACCCGACAACCCTGATTTTATACGGGAACTTCAGCACCATTTCTCCGTGCTTGTCTTCACAATCCAGGCAGCTGCTTATAGTCTTAAAGATTCAACCGAGTTCTTCCGAAATACCATGTAAAGAAACTTTTTCCGGGATTGTTGGAAAAAAAACCTGCTTGATTTAGCTCGGCTCATTATACAGATTTGGCTGTACGTGTGGCTTGCAGTATACCTTTTGTGAAACGTATTTTCTCTTTTTTTATTTTCAACCAAAATGTATTTAGAAGTTTCATTTTAATTTTAATCATTTGTAGATATACTGTTAATGATAATTAAAATAATGTAAGAATGGCATTTTCGGTCTCTTTTCTTTGTCATTTACCAATTGCATCAACTGAACTGTTATATCCCCGTTTGTTTATAAGGTGTTAAATTACCTCTAAAATTAAACCATATACGTTTGCCTATCGTAACAACGGAAGATTTTCATAGTATGCAAAATTTTCAGCCATTTAAGATAAAGATAATGGTTTATTTGATAACTTACTTAAATGTCTATTTACACGTGACTGTCGACTGAAATATAGAAACCAGTCTGAAAATTGGCGGTCAAACGACGGTCGGTGTATTTGTTGGACGTCACAAAATAAGAACAGGTTCAGCTGTAATTTAAAGGCTTGTAAGGTTAAATTTTAATGAAGTGTCCAAATTTGGGGTCGGAACAGTAGTCAATTTGCGTGTTTGATTTTACAAGTTTAAAACAAGACCAAACGGTCGTATACAATTCAAATAGTTGTAAATATATAACCTTAAAACAGTATTTATATATAAAATCAAATTCGTTATAATATAAGTGCCTTCATTTACATTATTAGTTGATTAAATAATACAAATGTTTGTAGTCACGTAACAAAATATAACTCTACTTCCAGGATCATCTCTCCACCGCATGATACATGCCAGTAAGGCATTCCGAAAAGCTCCTTCGTTTTGATTTCATTGATTTAATTGATTGTAATAATTGCTTTGTCTGTTTAACAAAAGTTGACACTCTTTCTATTGCATTATGTGTTGCATTTTAAAGTAATGCGCTATGTGCATTGCCATGAATCAATTTTAATTGACAGCAATAGGTTTACACTTTTAAGCATAAACGTTTTTTCTTCACTTTCATGCCAGATTTTTTGTGAAGAAGGATATAAGTGAACAATACACTGGACAAGCAATATTATATTTTCTATTTGTAACAATTGTATAATGTTTCAAAGTTTCATTGCTTATTAACTAATAATACTTAATCCAGTAGCGAAGCAGAATATATCAGCACCATGCTCATCTTTTAACTCCCATCTTGCGGTAACTTTTAACTGTAAAAAGAAAGATACGGACCATTAGGATTGCAAAGTTGGACACCGGCATTTATTGTGGCTGATTTCTTCCATTTCGTGTCTTCGCCTGTCAAAAGTCTAAGGAGTCAACTTTTGAAGGAGACGACACGAAGACACGCCATATGTTATCAAATTATCGTTATTTCGCCTAAAATGTATCGGCACGTGAAATGGCAGATATCTGCTACCACATTAATTAGTTTTACACACAGTAGAATGGTCATCCTGTCTTTCGATTAGAAGACCATGTTACTTTCGATCACTGTACTTTTCTTGGGAGCCTATATTTTTAACTTGTACCTTCCTTGCGAATACATGAAGTAGACTCTTAAATAATACTGTGTTTCATGCAGATAATAATTTTTTGCCCTTTTGGGGCCCAAGATTGTGTTTTTTAAATATTAAAAAAAATTTTTTTTCAATTTATAAAGTATTTCCCCAAAAAATTTTTTTACTTTCCCATAAATTCAAAGTTTTTTTTCTTTCGACATATGACATAATTTTATGTTCTACAATTAATTTAACATTTATTACTACGGAGATATAGCATTGGTGTTATAGCGGACTGACTTCGTTTAATTAATCAAACCACATTTGTAACTAAGTAAGTCCGCAATGAACTTCGTAAACTTTCTTTTATTTCCGTTTAACTTAAAAATGCGTATTTGTACGAGTCAGGAAAACAAACTTACATATTTACAGCAATATAAATATATATACCAAATACTTACACTTGGAGCAAATGAGGGGCATGTCATTGTTTGTCTATAGATATATGTGTTTCCAGCAATCATCGGACATGTTACACTTTTAATACAAGCATTCTCTGGAGTTAATGGAAATGGAACTTGAAGAAATCCTAGTCCACCGTGTAACACATTGTGGGCCTCATTAATATCTCGTGCTGGAATTATCAAAAAAATCATAAAACATCATAATCAAATATACATGTATTTGGCGTTGCATGAGTTACTATTTCACCAAAATGCTCACTGTAATATTTTTTCTTCTTTTTTTTTTAAATTTCAAAGTTGTATGTTGCTAGGAAAAATGATTGTGTTAAAGTATGCTTACTTGTTGTAAAGTTAACTTGCACCGTATAGTCTGCACCTTTATGTACTACACACGGTTCTTTGTCACATTGTTCTACACGAATCGAGTTGATATGGGCATCTTTAGATCCTACAATAGAAATAAATGTCGCAATGGATATAACAGAAGTTGAAACTATACCGACAAGTAATATATTACACCCTTACACCCAATTTACAGTTCCTTGTTTAGAATACGGTAATAGTTTCTGAGGGTAAATCTCTAGCTCCTCATTGCTGTATTTTTGAAGGTTATAACACATAAGCTTACATATATATGAATTCAGGAAGCTGTCGCACTCGGCTAGTTTACAAAAGGTCGATGAATCTGTTTGGTTTCACGTTCATGCCAGTGTACGATTGACATCTAAAATCTCACCGACCAGTGATGCTATCATCGTTATGAACAGTGGACTATGATAGCCACTATTCCCATGCCTTTAATACTAATATATGACGTTTGCAGTGTGGGTGTCAATACAAACCAAACAAAAAGTGCATTTGTGAATCTTAGTACCCTATTATTCAGTAATGTTACAATACAAGAGTCTTCTACACAAAAATATTATTTGTAAATTTTATACGTGAATTTAACAGTCATTTTTAGAACAGAGACATAATGAATTGAATTATTACGGCTATATGAAAGTCAATACATTTTAGAAAAAATAACTAGAAAAATAATTAAACATTTCAATTAAAATGTTAATATTAGTATGTGTAATCTTACCACCAGTCGTGAACTGTAATTGAATATTTCCGACAACGAACGCTACGCTGAGAAAAAAAACAAGCTACCTTAAACATCATGATTGTTAAACGTTAGAAATATTTGTTCACAGCGAAAGTTATCATTAAGTTTATCTCTTTTATAGTATAGCAGTTATCCAACTTTTTATATAACACCGCCTGATAAACGAACACTTTTCAAAGGTCATCTAAAACAAGGGTAATATATAGATCACAATTGGTGGCGCCATGATATTTCCACATCGTACCATCTACTTCTCTCGTAAATTCAGTAGCACAAAGGTTCAGTATTTGTAACGATAGTGAACATGTTTGCATCGTAAGATTTTCATAATAAAGATGTTCCTCTTTAT